TCTACTAAAAGTACAAAAATTAGCTGGGCATGGTGGCATGCACCTATAATGCCACATACTCAGGAGGCTGAGGCAGGAGAATCACTTGAACCCAGGAGGCAGAGGTTGCAGTGAGCTGGGATCACACCACTGCACTCTAGCCTGGCAACAGAGCAAGACTCCATCTCAAAAAAAAAAAAAAAAAAAGGAAGAGAGAGAGAATCCATTCCCACAAACCCTTTTTCTTTTTTTAGAGATGGGGTCTCTCTATGTTGCCCAGGCTAACCCTGAATTCCTGGGCTCACACGATCCAGCGTCTCAGCCTCCCAAGTACCTGGGACTACAGGTGTACATTGCTGTGCCCAACCGACAAACTGTTTTTATAGCAGCATTAATCTATTCATGAAGCTGGAGCCCTCCATGACCTAAACCCTTTTGATTAAGCCCCACTTCCCAACACTGCTGCATTGAATATTTAGTTTTCAACAGATGAATTTTAAAGGAAACAATAACATTCAAACCATAGTAGAACGTGATACAATGAAGTCTTGGACTGTGTCTTAAATTTTTTTTTTTTTTAATGTTTTATTTCTTTAGAAAATGCATGACTCAAATATGGCAAAATGTTAAAATTTCACAAAACTAAGTGGCAAATCTATAGGCAATTATTATACAGTATTTTTCCTATACTATGAATGATTAAGATATTGTATAGACTTTTTTTTTTTTTAAGACCGGGTTTCACCATGTTGGTCAGGCTGGCCTTGAACTCCCGACCTCAGGTGATCCGCCCACCTTGGCCTCCAAAGTGTTTGGATTACAGGCGTGAGCCACCACGCCCGGCCTGTACAGACTTTTTTAAGGTAGTTAAAAGTTGTACGTTATTATTCAAAGCACTAACTTCGTTTGTTTGAACACTTCCTAAATATCAGGTTATTTACTAAGAGAGAGAGAAAAAAGAAAAAAAAAAAAAAAAAAAACAAAACACCCTTCTGTGGTCCACATCCCCAAACCGACAGGGTTTCAATTCTAATGACAATGGAAGTTTCATCAAGGTAGAACTTCAGCTTTTGGTCAATACAAATGCGCCCTCTGCTGGTCCTTTCATGCCCTGTCCCAGAGTTCAAAAATTGTGAAGAGCAGTGAAGGCCTTCAATGAGTTTTTTCCCAGGCAGCGATGCTAAGGAAAGAAACCCTCACAGAACTACCCTTTGACACAGAGATACTTGGCCAGCTTCTGCTGTTAATGTTACATATTACCCAAGACAAAATAAATTCCAAGGTACAGCCTGGTCAACCTTTCCAGTTTCCTTAACCACCTTTGTGTGTTAATAATCTTGTGCCCCCTCTTAAAGATATGTGATACCGCGGACATCTACCTCCCTGAACCTGAGTAGAGGTAGAAGGAAACCCAGGTTGCAAAGAAGCTCTTGGGTGGGGAAACCACAACCAAACATTGAAAAATGGATTAACAGGCCGGGTGGGGTTGTTCACACCTGCAATCCCAGCACTTTGGGAGGCCAAGGCCGACGGATCACGAGGTCAAGAGTTCAAGACCATCCTGGCCAAAATGGTGAAACCTCATCTCTACTAACAATAACAAAATTAGATGGGCATGGTGGCAGGTTCCTGTAATCCCAGCTACTCGGGAAGCTGAGGCAGAGAATTGCTTGAGCCCAGGAAGCGGAGGTTGCAGTGAGCCAAAATCAAGCCGTTACACTCCAGCCTTGGTGACAGAGTGAAACTATGTCTCAAAGAAAGAAAAAAGAAAGATGGATTAACTGTAGTATTAAGGGAATGATGCCGATAATGGGTGAGCTTTTTCTTTTCAAATCTTTCTTTAAAAGTGTAATATCTTCAAATAAACAAAACTGAGTCGAAATTAATTAATTCATGCAAGAATCTATTTCTCAGAAAGGCACAAATTGAATATTGGAGTATTCCTTTCAAAAAAAGTTTTGTGTTTTGAGGTTTTGTTTTGTTTTAATATTCATCTTCCCCACCGGAATGTAAGCTCCCTTAGACCAGCATCTTTGTCTAACTGATTCACCGCCATATTCCCAGCACCTTGCACAACGCCTGGCATTTAGTAAATATTCAGTAAATCTGATAAATGACAGAAGAAATAACTTTTTTTTGGAGTACAAATTGGTACAAATTTTCTGGGGAAAAATTTGGCAGTAGGCATTGTCATTTGAGGACTGTACATCCTTTAATAATCAGAAATGTGGACAAAGAGTGCATTTTTTAATAATGAATGTAATCCCAGCACTTTGGGAGGCTGAGGCGGGTGGATCACGAGGTCAAGAGATCGAGACCATCCTGGTCAACGTGGTGAAACCCTGTCTCTACTAAAAATACAAAAAATTAGCTGGGCATGGTGGCGCGTGCCTGTAGTCCCAGCTACTCAGGAGGCTGAGGCAGGAGAATTGCTTGAACCCAGGAGGCGGAGGTTGCGGTGAGCCGAGATCGCGCCATTGCACTCCAGCCTGGGTAACAAGAGCGACACTCTCTCAAAAAAAATAAATAAATAATGAAAACATTCTTAGCCAGATGCAGTGGCTCACACCTGTAGTTTGGGACGCCGAGGCAGGTGGATCACTTGAGGCCAGGGTTTAAGACCAGCCTGCCCAACATAGCAAAACCCCATCTCTACTACAAATACAAAAATTAGCCAGGCATGGTGGTGCATGCCTGTAATCCCAGCTACTCAGGAGGCTGAGGTACGAGAATCACTTGAACCCAGGAGGTGGAGGTTGTAGTGAGCCAAGATTGCACCACTGCACTCCGGCCTGGGCGACAGAGCGAGACTGTCTCAGAAACAAAACAAAAATAACTTTCAAGAATATTCTATGCAAAGCTCTTTATAGTTATACAAAATAGAAGCAATATGAATTTTTTAAATTACGTTTGGTTAAGTCACATATGGTACATTCATATGATAACATACTGTGCTATTAAAAAATTTTTTTTGAGACAGGGTCCCTCTCTGTCTTTCAGGCTGGAGTGCAGTGGCACCATCACGGCTCACTACAGCTTCGACCTCCCAAGCTCAAGTGATCCTCCCACCTCGCCCACCTGAGTAGCTGGGACGACAGACACGTGGCACCATGCCCAGCTAATTTCTCTATTTTTTTTTGTAGAGACAGGGTCTCACCATGTTTCCCAGACTGGTCTCAAACTCTTGTGCCCAAGCGATCTGCCTGCCTCAGCTTCCCAATGTCCTGAGATTACGGACATAAGCCACCACATCCAGTCTAAAATTATTTTTTAAGAACATTTAGGCCAGGTGTAGCAGCTTATGCCTGTCATTTCAACAATTTGGGAAGTTGAGGCAGGAAGATCACTTCAGGCCAAGAGTTTGAGACCTGCCTGTGCAATATAATGAGACCTTGTCTCTACAAAAATTAAAATTTTCAAACATTAGCTGGGTGTGGTGGTGTATACCTGTAGCCTCAGCTACTCAGGAGGCTGAGGTGGGAGGATCCCTTGAGCCCAAGAGTTCAAAGTTACAGTGAGCTGTGATCATGCCACTGCACTCCACCCTGAGCAACAGAGCGAGACCCTGTCTCTAAGAATTAAAAAAAAAAAAAAAATTTAAGAATATTATATGGGAAAACTATAATATAAAGGTCGATTAAAATTGAATATACACTAATCAATTCTATGGAAATATAATATGATATTCATTTTATATATACCTGAAAGTAAATACACCAAAATATTTGCAATAGTCGTATATGGGTAAAGAGAGCGGGCATGGTGAGATTTTTTTGGTTCGTTTGTTTTTACCATGCGCCGGCACAAGTTTAGGCACTTTTCTTGTATTAACATATCTCTTCCTACTTTTTTAAAGCAGCTTTATCAAGGGATAATTGACATACAATAAATTAGACCTTTTGAAATTGTACAGTTCCCATGAAACCATCACCACAATCAAAATAAAATATTCATCACTCCCAAAGGTTTCCTCATACCTCCCCCATTCCAGTCTCCTTCATCCCTAGACAACCATTGATGTGCCTTCTGTCACTATAGATTAGTCTGCATTTTCTAGCATTTTACATAAATGGAATCAGGCCATATGTACTTTTTTTTGAAATGGAGTTTTGCTCTTGTTGCCCAGGCTGGAGTGCAATGGCATGATCTCAGCTTACTGCAATCTCTGCCTCCGCTTCCTGGGTTGAAGCAATTCTCCTGCCTCAGCCTCCCGAATAGCTGGGATTACAGGCACATACCACCATGCCCGGCTAATTTTTGTATTTTCAGTAAAGATAGAATTTCACTATGGTGGCCAGGCTAGTCTAGAACTTCTGACCTCGTGATCTGCCTGCCTTGGCCTCCCAAAGTGCTGGGATTATAGGCATGAGCCATTGCGCCTGGCCAAAATCAATTTGCTTCTCAGTGTTATACCCATACTGGGGAAATATAAATACATACTAACCTCCCAATGTTATCTATTATTTCCTTTTTCTGTTTTCCAGTTTGTATCCATCCAGATGTTATTCTAACACACTACTCTATAGTTTATATTTTTACTTGTCACATCATATTTTCCATATTGTTTATTTATCTTTTTAACCATAATTTTAAATGTCAAGTTAATGTATCATAAATTACTTCCCCAATCTCCCTTGTTGAGCTGTTTCCAATTTTCCATTATTAATAGTAATGCTGTAATAAGTAAGTTGGTACAAAAAGCTTGTTTCTTCTTTTGAATTCTTTCCTTATGATAAATACCCAGGAGTGAGATTCCTGATCAAAGGCTAGAACATTTTTCTGATTGCTGATACATACTGTCATATCACTTTCCCAAAGGATATTTTAATACTAATTTAAATGTTACTTGCCATGTGCCAGCGCTGGTTTCTGAAGTATTTGCTAATTTTCTAGGTATGGCATACGTCATTGTTCTAATTTGCATGCCTTTGACTCTCATCAGGTAGACGTTTTTCCATGTCTGATCGCCTCCTAAGATAACTGCCTGTTGTCCTTTATTGATTGATACTCTGTTTTCACAGACCCAGAGCCAAGGAGTATGACCCTTGACTCTCTTGGTGCTTCCCAGACTGAGCACATCCAGATCTCAGATGCAGATACTGTGCAAAAGGTGTAAGTGTTCTAAGTTGTAATAACACAGGCTTCTCTGCTTTTATTTTGTTTGTATTTTTAATTAATTTAGTTTGGTTATTTTCTGACAGGCATGAGAATTCTCAGCTGACAGTGTGCTCTGACAGCCAAAATTAAATGGTTATCTAAGAAACAAAGATTCTGCAGATGACTATATTGTGGTGTGTTTCCTACCTAAAAACCATATTATTTGAATGGGTGGGTGAAGAGTGAAGTTAACTCTAACCATGTGGAAACAGCTCTTTCCATTTGTCCAATCTGAAATCTACACAGATGCCTAGAAAGCTGAAATCTATCACTTCAACCTGGGTTTCTCCCCTCAGCATTCAATCAGCCCTGAGTAAAATAAATAATGCTAATAATCCTAACACCAATATTAATACTAATTGCTAGCCTGTATTGAGTGCTTCCTATGTACTGTACCAATGTGCTTACTGTGAGTCTGGCCAGTCAGGCATAGTGTTTTGATTTAAGCCCCCTTTGGCAGTGGGAGCTGGTGTGGCCTCTTTGCCTCCATCTGGAACTACAGCCTATTGTGACCTCCCAAAAACCTGCCCTCACCTCTCCTGGGATGTAAAGATTCCCTCCTGGGTCAAAAAGCTTTTGCATTCCCCAGGAGTAAAGGGGGAAAGGCACCTGGATGAATGAGACAGCCACCAGAGGAACTCCAGTTTTAAATTTTTATACCTGATCTTTGCTCACAATGTATTTTAAACGTTTATGACAACCACCCTCCCTCCACCAAAAAACACGAAATAATCAAAAAGAAATTTTTTAAATCAGGAGAAAAAAACACAAACTTCCACAAAAGTCATTACAGTCTTTGTGACTTAATTTCAAGCTTGACAGAGGGATTCCTGACATAGAGATTTCTGAAAAAAAGAGTAAAACGATCAGGTTTGTGGTTCTCATTTGCAGCATACCTATTCCTCAGGGAAATTAAAGGTTTTCCAAGCACTAAATTCTAAAGGAGACTTCTCCTATGGGCTTTTATAGAGTGACATTGAATGATTTAAAGACTCATATATTTACAGGAAATTCCATTCACCTCATTCAACAAATATTTCTCAAGTTTCTACAGTAAGGCCCTGTGCTAGCAGAGCACAGTAAAGAGAATACTCATTTAGCTAAAAATAAAATAAAATAAAATAAAATGCCCAGAACCAGGCCTGGCACACAGGAGCTGCTATTGCTGCTGTCACTGCAATGCATGGGGCTGTTTTTCAGTGGCCTTTTTACCCAGAGAGCATAAGTCAGTTATCCTCAGGGCACTCAGTGAGTGACAGCAGTCCTACAATGGATAAAACCACCGCAGCACATGACCTTTTAGTGGCTGAATTGGATAAGGATAGAAGTCAGAGGGCATAATGGACTGAATGGACAGTTACGTGTTCCTAACACAATCTTTCGTAAAGGTCATTTTCTTTTTCCAGCTAATCCTTTGATTGAAGAAATTTCAGTTAAATAATTCTTTGTCATTTAAGTAAAAGCATAAATATGTAACCACAAAGAGCAAATGACTTCTCCCAGTCTCTGAGTTTTAGGATTTATCTGAGGAAACCCCAAAAGTGAAGACCAATCTTTCTGATCTTCCTTACCATGGGATAATGCAGAAGAAAAAGAGTTGACTGAGTATGTCAAATGTCAGGCACAGGGCGTGCCGAGAACAGGTGCTCAATGTTGATTTACTTGCCCTCCTTCTTTCCACCAGAGTTTTTTTCTTTAGTTTGGTCCTGTTGGTTTGCTCTTTTCAAAGGGGCAGAGATTATGATGTACACCACCTCCACAGAGGACTTCTGGGACACAGGCCTGAGTCACCAGAGAGGTTGAGTGCTGTGTATACATCTCTTCTTCCAAGAGAAAGAGAAGGGAAGGCTGAACCAAGACTATTTAGCCAGGAGACAGCCAGCATCGGTCATGTGAGTGTAAACACCTAAAAGCTCAGTCTGAAAGCCCTACCTGGATCTCATCAAGGATACCATGTACAGTTGTATAGAGTGCTCACTATGAGGGTGGCATTTTTGCATAAAGCGAATGAGGGGGGCACTAAGTCCAGCCTGTGGTCTGCTTACCAAGCCCTGCACAGCCACATTGGGCTGCATCCTCCTGAAGGATGGAGCATCCATTTCTAATTCCATTTTTTTTTTTTTTTTTTTTTTTTTGAGACACAGTCTCTCTGTGTCACCTAGGCTGGAGTACAGTGGCACAATCTCAGCTCACTGCAACGTCCACCTCCCAGGTTCAAGTGATTCTTCTGCCTCAGCCTCTCGAGTAGCTGGGATTACAGGCATGTCCCACCACTCCCAGCTAATTTTTGTATTTTTTTCAGTAGAGATGGAGGTTCACCATGTTGGTCAGGCTGGTCTCAAACTCCTAACCTCAAGTGATCCACCCACCTCAGCCTCCCAAAGTGCTGGGATTACAGCGTGAGCCACCACGCCCAGCCCCATTTATAATTCCTACAAAGGTACTCAGTGGCTAGTCACTGCCCCACTCTGCCATCCTCTCTTAAGACTGTTGTTCCAGCCCATGGAGAAAGGTGGTCATCTCCCTGAGGTTTCCTGAAAGTTAGCAAATAATTCTGCAGTGAATAAAGCTGGTTTTGATTTACAATAGTTAACCATTAATCATGGCAACACCAATCTAACAAAGGTAAAAACTATTTCACTTTGATCCAGCTCTGTAGATCATGCTTTGGAATCTAAGAAAGGAGGCAGACCATAAAGTATGTTTTCCTCCTCTTTCCTCTAATGAAATTATTCCTAGCAGTTTTACATCAAAGGTTGAACCTTTGAATCTCCCCATTGGCTCTGCATTCTCTAAGATTCACTCTCTGCTTTACCTGGAACTCACACAAATTCCATTCTAAGCCAGTCTGTCGCCTTGTTCAACACAGTCTTCTTTGATGGTTGGTTTTTTTTTTTTTTCGTTTCCTATACATATCATGGTCCCCTTTCTTGATTTTTCACCTTTAGGAGAGGGATCTGATTGACAAAGCCAAGAGAAAGAACAGACCCAAGACAGACAAAACCAAAGCACTCGAGAGAGAGAGAGAAGGAAAGATCTACAGGGAAGCAGAGGCTGCCGTCGGTAAGAGAGTGTGCTGGCAAGTAACAAAAACTGGAGAAAACTCCTATTGGGGGTCGGGAGGTGGAATGGGTAATTAGCATGGATCCTACCAGACAAACGCTCTGTTTTGAGTCTCCTTGACTACTAGAGTTAGGATGGTGTTGCAGCCTTACTTCGTGTCAGTATCTTAATAGACAGAGATAGAGGAAAATGGGGAGCCTAGAGACCTGTGTTTACCAAGAAAGGAAAGCATAATAATAACAGCAACTATTTACTGAATACCTTCTCTATTAGGACTCTGTATATATGATCTCATTAAATCCTCACAGCATCTCCATGAAGGAAGTTTTATTATTATATTCATGTAGCAACTGAGGTTTAGCAAGGTTGGGTGACTTGCATAACATCAAGCAGATCAGACAGTAAAGTGGTAGACCCAGGGTTTGTCCTTTCCTATTTGACTCCTAACAGATTCTATTACCACTGCCTCCATAAAATAATAACTATATCACATAATCAGAGTACTGGGTAGTGAGAGCATTTGGGAAGGGGAAGGATGCCGCAGTGTTGAATGATCCTCCAAGCTACGGTTTCTGTCTTGGTTCCCTGACCAGGAACTCAGATTCCTATGCTTCTGAAGACTTTCTTTAGCCTAAAACTTACACCCATCCTTTACTTCCCACATGATACAGAATACCCTCCAAACAAATCCAATGCTGCTGGAAAGGACAACAATGGATACGCTCCTGAGCAAAATCTATTTTTGAGATGTGCTTGTTTAACTCTTGCTGAGTTTACATTTTTGTAGCCCATGACTTGGGTAGCATTGGCGGGATCAGGAAAAGGAAATACTTGTGGTGTCCTCACCAAAGGTGAAGTGAAGGAAGGGTCCTTAGAGTGTGGAAGGTTAAACTTTGCCAGGTTACAAAGCTGCAATCTCAAGCCAGACTCTCAAGGCATGACTTTCCAGCGGTGTCTACAAGCCTCCCTTCTCGGGCGGTCCTGCCCCCACCATAAGTCAGAGTGAAATAGAACTTATTTAATAGCAAGACTGCTGAATGTTAGTTGAGAGGATAAGGCAGTTTCTCAAAGGGTGGTCTGCTAACTACTCTTCCCAAAACACATTGGGTTTTTGTTACAATGCAGATTCCCACTGAACCAGATTCTGGGGCTGGGGCTCAGGAATGTGCATCGCAGGCAACTCTATTGCATACTAACTTGTAAAAGTTACTAAAAAGGGGCCAGGCATGGTGGCTCACACCTGTAATCCCATCACTTTGGGAAGTGAGCAGATTTCTTGAGCTCAAGGATTCGAGACTAGCCTGGGCGACATGGCAAAGCCCCATTTCTACAAAAAACACAAAAATTAGCTGGACATGGTGGTGCACCTGTAGTCCCAGCTACTCAGGAAGCTGACGTGGGAGGATCACTTGAGCCCAGGAGATCAAGGCTGAATGACCCATGATCATGCTACTGGGTGACTACTCCAGCCTGGGTGACAGAGCAAGACCCTGTCTCAAAAAAAAAAAAAAAAAAAAAAAAAAAAAGTTACTAAAAAGGATGTCTTAATGTGTTCTCTAATCACATTAAGTTAACTCAGCTATGTCTCTATCCCCAATTGTTCTGCCCCAGGAAAATCAAAGGACTCAAAGGCTAAAAAAATTTTAGAAAAAAAACCAGGAGCCCAAAGGAAAAGGACACAGAAAGAAAGAAATCTGGAGAAAGCAGCAGAGCAGAGTGGGCCTGATGCCATTCACTCTGAGGAAACAGAAGACACCTCAAATAGAGGTTCCTTCGCTTCAGACTCCTTTATAGAGGACCCTTGGCTTTCTCCCAAATATGATGCTCAGGAGACCCAAGTTTCTCTAGATAGAAGATCATCACTCTCCCAGATTGCAACTGTCTCTGGCAACATGGAATCTAAAGAAGAGAGAAGCTGTGAGGACCCTTCCAAAGTCAAGTCTGATGTCCTCGGCTTGACAGAGGGAGTTCTGTCCTCACTTGGCACAAGTGCAGAGGTGAGAAAAGTTGCCCTTAATTATATTGCACTTACTGAAACAGCTCTAATACCTCATGGTCTTATTGTTCTCCTTTGGTATCTTCTGACCCTAGTAAGACCTGATCAAAGATGCAGGGGTGGCAAAGCCCCTCTGAAGTGATGCATTCTGTGAGGCTCCACACTGCCAGGGCAAGTATCCACCCTGTAAAGAATAGGGTGGATAATGAGCACAGCACCCATCTGTGAGAGGTGCAGGACTCATGGTTACAGGGAAAGGTGGATACTGGCTATCAGAGTCAAGCATATTTACTTGACTTAGGCTAGGGCTCATCTATTGCTTGCCTCCCAAAGGCTGTGGAAATTTCTGCTTTCCTAATCTGTGTTTCTGCGGTATACAGCTGGAACAGAGGCAGTATGTATACATATATAAAACAGATATTGTATACATATATCTGTTTTTACAAGGTGCTTTTGGGCTGGGCACAGTAGCTCATGCCTGTAATCCAAGCTCCTTGGGAAGCCGAGGCAGGCAGATCAAGAGTTAGAGACCAGCCTGGCCAACATAGTGCAACCCCATCTCTACTAAAAATACAAAATTTAGCCAGGCATCATGGTGTGTGCAAGTAATCCCAGCTACTAGGGAGTATGAGGCGAGAAAATCACTTGAACCCGGGAGGCAAAGGTTGCAGTGAGGCAAGATCATGCCACTGCACTCCAGCCTCAGCAACAGAGCAATACTCCATCTCAAAAAAAAAATACACAGGGTGCTTTTTCATGTAAGAGTCACTTTGTTCCAGAGGCCTTGATTCTTACGTGGAGGTCTGAAGAGAAAAACAAGTGTAAGGAAAAATTACCCTTGAAAATTGCTGCAATTAGGCCAGATGCGGTGGCACATCCCTGTAATCCCAGCACTTTGGGAGGCCAAGGCAGGAGCATTGCTTAAGATCAGCAGTTTGAGGCTGCAGTGAGCTATGTTTATGCCACTGCACTCCAGCCTGAGCAGGAGGACAAGATTCTATCTGTAACCAAAAAAAGGAAGAAAGAAAAGAGAGAAAGAGAAAAAAAAGAAAAGAAAGAAGGAAGGAAGGAAGGAGGGAGGGAGAGAGGAAGGAAGGAAGGAAATCCCTGCAATTAACCAAAAAAGAATACCATATAGAGACATCGTCTGTAAGTATGACCAACACAACCAATTTTTCTTCTGATGTTAATAGATTACTATTTCTTCCACTGAGACTAAGGTACTGAACTTCATTTTGACATCTTATAAAAAAAATTAAAAATTAGCTTTAAACACTACAAATGCACACACAGCTAAGCCACTATGGTTAAACTCACATATGTTACATTAACCCTTACAGCCACACTGTGAGCCAGGTATGATTAGCCCCATTTTACAGATCCAGAAATAGAAGCTAGAGGGAGTTAAATGCAGGTTGCCAGAAATTACACAACCATTGAGTGGTAGAGCCAAGACTTAAGCTTAGGTCATTTGACTCTAGGTTCAGGACTCTTGTCACTATTTTAAATTATTATCTATTTACTTATTTTATGGCCCATGGTCTTCCAAAAAGGATTCCAGGAAGATTTTCCTTTATAGTTCTCAGTCCCTCCCAGCTGCCGGGATCACAGAATTCCGCTCTGCACAACAGATGAAAATTTCAACCTGTGGGCAGAACTTTTCTGAGCCTGCGTGATCATCAACATGTCTTAGATTTATTGTCATAGTGGTGTCCTGCCTCTGCAAAGGCTAAAAAGCAAGGAGACTTTTCTCTGAGTTGGATACACAGAGTTCCTGGAAGGCTTGCCTCTGAAGGTTCTTTCATAGGCAAATTTCTGAGGAAGAGGCATTAGGGAGAAAAGGAAAGCTATAACAACCTTCATATAAACTGAAATAACAACCTTCCATTGGAAAGGTGAGTTTCTATGGGATTAAATGTGAGTCTGACCCATCTATACCTGAGACTGCCTGGTAAAATGCTTCTATTTAGAACCTGTGGTTCCCAACTCTGGCTTCATGTTGGAATCACTCAAGAAATTTTTCAACAACTGAGGCCTTCCACCTAGAGATTTTCATTGGTCTGGGTAGAGTCTTGGCCTCAGGTACTTTTGTTTTTATTTGTGTGTGTGTGTGTGTGTGTGTGTGTGGTGTGTATGTATGCATGTATGTGTGTATATATGTACATATACATACATACATATATTCATATATATATCCATCATATGTAAATATATAACCATCATATGTAAATATATATATATATATATATTTTTTTTTTTTTTTTTTTTTTGAGGCAGAGTCTCACTTTGTCGCCAGGCTGGAGTGCAGTGGTGTGATCTTGGCTCACTGCAACCTCCGCCTGCCGGGTTCAAGCAATTCTCCTGCCTCAGCCTCCCGAGTAGCTGGGACTGTAGGTGAACGCCACTATGCCCAGCTGATTTTCATATTTTTAGTAGAGACAAGGTTTCATCATGTTGGCCAGGATAGTCTCAATCTCTTGACCTCATGATCTGCCCACCTTGGCCTCCCAAAGTGCTGGGATTACAGACATGAGCCACTGTGCCAGGTCTCTATATAGTTTTGAGACAGAGTCTTGCTTTGTCACCCAGGAGTGCAGTGGCATGATCATAGGTCACTTGTTACCTCGAACCCCTGGGCTCAAGCAATCCTCCCACCTCAGCCTCCCAAAATGCTGGGATTACAGGTGTTAGCCACTGTGCCCAATCTCAAGTAATTTTTGAAAGCTCCTTGGGTAATTCTAAAGCGCAGCTAGGGTTGAGAACTCTAGAACCTACCATGTACTGGACATTGTGTTGGCACTTTCATTATTTCAGTTAATCCTGGTGACAATACCATGAAGAAGACAATATCGGGAAGTTTAAGTTGTAATCCCAAAATCCCAAAGCAAGTAAGAGACAGAGCTGAATCAAGGTCAGTCAGACCCAAAAGTCCAAGCTGGTGGCAGCTGAGTCTGCAGCTGCGGGCAGAGCGTGGAGTCCGCTTTATGAGTCCATCTTTGATTAGAGACAACATTGTCTGGGGTGGAGAAGGGCTCAGTGCTGAGACTGACCTATCTGTTCCTTGCACTGAGAACACTCTGGTTTCTTAGGCCCTCCTCACTAAGAGGGAACAGAAGAAGGCTTCCCAGGACAGGCTTCGAACAGAAAGAGCCGAGATGAGGCGGCTGGAGGTGGAGAGGAAGAGAAGGGAGCAGGAAGAGCAGAGGCAGCTCCAGCAGGAGCAGCTGGAGAGGGCAAAAAAGATGGAGGAGGAGCTGGAGCTGGAGCAGCAGAGACGCGCAGAAGAGAGCCGGTAGGTCGGGCAAGCCAAAGAAACTACGGCCATGTTCAGAAGCAGAATTAAAAAAGGCAGTGGTTGACCTCCCCTAGAGACAATGTTTGGTTCTGAGGCTCATGCCCCGAGGTAAAACAGCATGCATCATTTTTCTCTGTCCTCAGTTTTCCTAGGCACAATACCGACCAGAGAAAAGCTGCAGCAACTCAGCCAAGGGCATGGGTACATTCTGCTGAATGTCACTCACATTCAGGTTTACAACCCCACGTGAGGGTTACTCACACTTACGGTCATGAGATCTTCTTGGGAAGACTCTGAGAGTCAGTCCAGCAAGCATTTGCCAAGCCCCTGCGCTTTGCTGTCTGCACTGTGCTGGCCCCTTTCACAGGCCTCAACTGCAATTTAATCTTCACAACAACCCTGTGAAGCAGGAGTTTTGAAATCCTTAAGAATGAAAAATGAACTTTTGTGCCAGGGTACAGAGCTGTGTACTGAAACTCTGGTTTCAAGCCCACTGGGCTCTTGTCTCTGCTCTTCAATCCTGGCTTCCCTTGGAAAACTGAGTCTCCTGGGAATGGGATGCTCCCTGTGGCCAGTAGGCTCAGAGCCTCCCCCATGGGCACTGTCTGTTGGCTCATCTCACAAGGATGCCTCAGTGTTTTCTGCCATTTCCCTGCCCATCTTGTGTTTTCTCAGCTTGAGGAAACAGAGACTCCAAGAAGAACAGCAGCGGCAGGAGGAGGAGGAGAGAAAGCAGCAGCTCCGGTTGAAAGCAGCCCAGGAGAGAGCTCGGCAACAGCAAGAGGAGTTTCGGAGGAAGCTACGAGAACTACAGAGAGAAAAGCAGCAGAAGGAAGCTCAGAGGGCCGGTGAGGGGGTTCTTAAGCTCTTTGCATCTCTCTTCTATTTGGGGCAGAAATATTTTTATCCAACTGTGAGTGTTCGTTTATTCCCATCCTAGGCCTTAGTGTCTTAAGCACTCTAAATATATAAACTATTTTTTTTCCAAATGATTATGTATGACTATAGTGTGTTAATATAGACCTAAATAAGAAAATAATGACTTGCTTGTGGAAATGGCTCCAGAGGCCTTCTCTCAATCCAACAACCTCCTGAACTGGGATCTTGCCCTTCCCTTTGCCCTTTCGGCATTGCTCAGGAGCTACCTAAATTGGAGACACAGCCTTACTCCTTTTTCCCTCCCTAGCAGATGGAAACAGTCACAAGCATCTGGATAGCTTCAGGGCACCTTCAGGTGCTGACGTGTGGAATCTCACCAGCCTCTTTTTAAAAATTATGACTTATTTTTAATTGACATAGAATAATTGTACATATTTACAGAGTACAATGTAATATTTGACACATATACAATGTGTAATTATCAAATCAGGGTAATAAGCATATCCATCACCTCAAACATTCATTATTTGTGTTGGGAACATTCAAAATCCACTTTTTTTTTTTTTCCTTCAAAATCCACTCTTCTAGCCAAGTGTCGTGACTCATGCTTGTAATCTCAGAATTTTGGGAGGGCGAGGCAGGTCGATCACCTGAGGTCAGGAGTTCAAGACCAGCCTGGCCAACATGACAAACCCTGTCTCTACTAAAAGTACAAAAATTAGCTGGGTGTAGTTGCATGTGCCTGTAGTCCGAGCTACTCGGGAGGTTGAGGCAGGAGAATTGCTTGAACCCAGGAGGTGGAGGTTGCAGTGAGCTGAGATAGCATAACTGCACTTCAGCTTGGGCAACAAGAGCAAGACTCTGTCTCAAAAAAAAGAAAAAAATCTACTCTTCTAGCTATTTGGAAAAAGAAGTTGCTGTTACAGTCACCTACAGTGCTACAGAACACTAGAACTTATTCCTTCTAGCTAGGTGTACTTTAGTAGTCTTTAACCAACCTGTCCCTAACCCCCCAACAATCCCCTACCCCTCCCTCCCTCTAGTAACCACTGTTCTATTCTCTACCTCCATGAGATCAATGTTTTTAGCTTTCATATGAGTAAAAACATTTTATTTATTTTTCTTTTTTTTTTTTTTTTTTTTTTTTTTGAGACGAGTTTCGCTCTTGTTACCCAGGCTGGAGTGCAATGGCGCGATCTCGGCTCACCACAACCTCCGCCTCCTGGGTTCAGGCAATTCTCCTGCCTCAGCCTCCTGAGTAGCTGGGATTACAGGCACACGCCACCATGCCCAGCTGATTTTTTGTATTTTTAGTAGAGACGGGGTTTCACCATGTCGACCAGGATGGTCTCGAACTCTCGACCTCGTGATCCACCCGCCTCGGCCTCCCAAAGTGCTGGGATTACAGGCTTGAGCCACCGCGCCCGGCATCATTTTATATATTTTTCTATGCCGAGCTTATTTCACTTAATGTAAGTCCTCTCAAGATCATTCACGTTGTCGTAAAAGACAGAATTTTATTCTTCGTATAGCTAAGTAGTATTCCATTATGTATATATACCACATTTTCTTTATCCATTCATCTATCGATGGACATTTATATTGAATCTATATCTTGGCTATTGTGAAAGGCGCAGCAATAAACATACAAGTGCAAGTATCTCCTCGATATGTTGATCTCCTTTCCTTTGGACATATACTAGCAGTGGGATTGCTGGGTCCAGCCACACCTTTGAGGAAGAGATAAGAACTTCAGCAGACCATACTGTGGCCACTTCCTGATTCTGGCTGTAGACTCAGTGCAGCTGAGGAAGCACCAACTTTCTCTAGACCCTGATCTGACATCGCTCCCCAACCCAGCTTCATACCACCACATAAACACACCGGGCTCTGGAAAAATTATTCCCCAAGGCTTTGTATCAACTGCATAGTGTACTACACATAGTAGGTGCTTAATTTAAAAAAAAAAAAAAACTTGTTTTTTTTTTTGAGATGGAGTTTCCCTCTTGTTGCCCATGCTGGAGAGCAATGATGCAATCTCAGCTTACTGCAACCTCTGCCTCCTGGGTTCAAGTAATTCTCCTGCCTCAGCCTCCCAAGTAGCTGGTATTATAGGCATGCACCACCACATCTGGCTAATTTTGCATTTTTAGTAGAGATGGGGTTTCTCCATGTTGGTCAGGCTGGTCTCAAACTCCTGACCTCAGGTGATCTACCCACCTTGGCCTCCCAAAGTGCTGGGATTACAGGCATGAGCCACTGTGCCTGGCCAGAACTCTTAAATTAGTAAATTAATCCCCAGAGAGGATCTGGCAGCCAGCTAGCTGGTTAAACTTCAAAATTTCTCACAGGGAGTCCCTCAGAATCACAGATTTGAGAGTTGGATCAGAAAATTGTTTTCCCCAATAATGATCCCTGCTGAGCCCACCCTCTTTTCTATTCTCCAGAGGCAGAGAAGCAAAGGCAAAGGGAATTGGAAATGCAGTTAGCAGAAGAACAAAAACGCCTGATGGAAATGGCTGAAGAGGAAAGACTGGAGTACCAGCAGCGGAAACAGGAAGCGGAAGAGAAGGCTCGGCTGGAGGCAGAGGAGAGGAGGCAAAAGGAAGAGGAAGCAGCTAGACTGGCTCTGGAAGAAGCCACAAAACAAGCCCAGGAACAGGCCAGGTACTGGACATTTGGGCAACAGTTGCCATTGGGGGGTTGTTCAAGGGCTTCACTGTCCAGCGCTAATGCTAGCCTTGCGCTGCCTTTGGACAAGAAAAGTTCCCCCACCCCAGGCATGGTTTGGAAGGCGGAAAGGCATAGAGGGATTCTTTTGCTGCAAATATCGATTCCTCTATGGCTTAAAGAAGCTATACTGAAGCTACAAGGGAGTTTAGAGAGATCCACCTCAATCGTCTAGTTTATAGATGAAAAAGGCATGTCCCAAAGAGGAAAAGGATCTTGATCATGAACAAACAGTGACTTAGGAACAATGCCAAGACCAGATCTAAGACCCCCTAATTCCATACCCATTGCCTTCCTTGGTATCTACTGAGTGCCTGTTATGTGCCAAACACTGTTACAGACACTAGGAATTCAGGAGTATGAAAGACAGAGAAGATGGCTCCTCCCATCGCATTTACATTCTAGGGGCAGGGTGGGGACAAACTCTAAACAAAGACTTTTTTTTTTTTTTTTTTAGACAGAGTCTCACTCTGTAGCCCAGACTGGAGTGCAATGGCGCAATCTCAGCTCACTGCAATGTCCACCTCCCAGGTCCTGGTTCAAGCTATTCTCCTGCCTCAGCCTCCCGAGTGGTTGGGATTATAGGCATGTGCTGAGATGCCCAACTAATCTTTGTATTTTTAGTAGAGACGAGGTTTCACCATATTGGCCAGGCTGGTCTTGAACTCCCGACCTCATAATCCACCCGCCTTGGCCTCCCTAAGTGCTGGGATTACAGGCATGAGCCACCGTACCAGGCCAACGAAGACTTTTTAAAGCCGGCAATAAATGCTATGCAGAATTTTTTTTTTTTTTTTTTTTTTTTTTTTTTTTTTTTTTGAGACGGAGTTTCGCTCTTGTTACCCTGGCTGGAGTGCAATGGCACGATCTCGGCTCACCGCAACCTTCGCCTCCTGGGTTCAGGCAATTCTCCTGCCTCAGCCTCCTGAGTAGCTGGGATTACAGGCACGTGCCACCATGCCCAGCTAATTTTTTTGTATTTTTAGTAGAGACGGGGTTTCACCATGTTGACCAGGATGGTCTTGATCTCTTGACCTCGTGATCCACCCGCCTCGGCCTCCCAAAGTGCTGGGATTACAGGCTTGAGCCACCGCGCCCAGCAGAAAAAATTTTTAAATGTGATAGGACGCCGGCACAGTGGCTCACATGTGTAATTCTAGCACTTTGGGAGATAAAGGCAAGAGAATCACTTCGAATCCCTTGAGCTCAGGAGTTCAAGACCAGCCTAGGCAACAAAGTGAGACTCCCATTCCTACCAAAAAAAATAAATAAATAATTACCCGGGTATGGTGGTGAATGCCTGTGGTCCCAGCTATACAAGAGACATTTGCAAAATTTCTCACAGGGAGTCCCTCACAATCACAGATTTGAGAGTTGGATCAGAAAATTGTCTGGGAGGTCAAGGCTACAGTGAGCCAAGATCAAGTCACTGTACTCCATGAGCAAGACTCTTTTTAAAAAAAAAAAAAAAACAAGGGCAGGCATGGTGGTTCACATCTGTAATACTAGCACTTTGGGAGATCGAGGCGGGTGGATCACCTGAGGTCCGCAGTTCGAGACCAGTCTGGTCAACATGTTCAAACCCCATCTCTACTAAAAATACAAAAATTAGCTGGGTGTAGTAGCGGGCACCTGTCATCCCAGCTACTTGGGAGGCTGAGACAGGAAAATCACTTGAACGTGGGAGGCAGAGGCAGTGAGCCAAGATCAAGCCATTGCACTCCAGCCTGGGCGACAAGAGTGAGGAAGAAAGAAAAAAAGATGTGATAGAACTGCATGTGGCTTATTTTAATTGGTTAACCAGGACAAGACCTCTCAGAAGAAGTGTCATATATGGTGAAACTTGAATGACAAAGAGTCACATAAACATCTGGGAGAAAAAGATCCCAGCATGTAAACAGTAAGTATAAAGGTCTGAAGAAAGAAATGAGGCTGCCATGTTGGAAGAATAAAAGACAGTATGGATGGAATGAAGGGGACAAAGGGCAAAGGATACTTCCAGATGAAGTTAGGGACACAGGCCAAGACCAGATCTAAAATGAGGGCCTTGTTAGAAGAAAAGGCACAGAAACAAAGTCATCAGGGTTTCCCCCCTTTATTCTCCTATAATACTGATTATCATTGCATCTTACTGATAATAAAAACTGAGGTATGTATTTCAATTGACTTAAAAAGCTAGGACCGCTATAGTTGCTACATCATGAACTTCTCCTCCTTAGAGAAAGTAACTAATAACTGTCCCTCTTTAGAACCACCAAAGTTGAAAGGTAAAGAGGCACAACCCCGAAAAGCATGTGATTCCAACCTTAACTGTAAATACTTTTCCCCTTCAAATATCTGTCCACAACTTAAGCTGAATCTAAGATGATAAATACTCTTTAGGGGACCAAAAAGAGAAGGCAGCCAGTGCAACTCGATTTCAAGGTTGTCTACTAACCTTGAGTTCTTCCTCCTCTGGACGTTGCTCAGCTGTTAGGTGAATTACAAAATGGATCATTAGGCAAGCCCTCACTTCATTTCAAAATTATCTATTCCATGTACCATGGCAGCAGAATTACGTTCCTAAATATTGAGACCACAAGCTAACTATTAGGAGTTCCAACTTTCCACGAGAAGGAAACTGACAGTCATCCAAGGCAAAGCTGAGCAATTTATAAGTATAGTCCAAGTAGCTGAAAGCAGAAAAACAACTAACTAAAGGGATGAGGAGAAGAGCCTCACTCTACCAAGACTCAGGAGAATTTCACATCAACTGGCTTTATTTCATCTTCACTGTGTGACACTGGCCCAGGTACTTTAACTTCTCTGGCCTGTTTTCTCACCCGACCCCCCTTTTTTCTTTTGAGAAAGAGTCTCACTCTGTTGCCCAGGCTGGAGTGCAGGGACACAATCTCAGCTCACGGCAACCTCCAGCTCCCAGATTCAAGAGATTCGTGCCTTAGCCTCCCGAGTAGCTGGTAGGGAGCCACCAGGTTGGCTAGTTTTTGTATTTTTTTTTTCAGATCTTCAAAATAGTCTGTATTCAACATTTTTAGTATAAAAAATCCACAAGTTAAACACACAACAGTGTAGGCAGAGACATACAATGCTGAACTTCCATAACAGTCAATGGTACAGTCAAACATCACATGTACAGAACACACAATTTAGATGAACTGAAATTTTAAGAAAAAATAAAATCCAATTTCAGAAAACAAAACTCAAATGATTAAGGATCCTTGGAATATTCTTAACCGTAATGAGATTTCTCACTGGACTCAAGTCATTTAGTAGTGAGGCATTCACAATATGACCCTATTAACCCAGTCTAGGAATTTTGGGGAGCTGAATCAGTAGCTGCATCAGATACTCTGACAAAAAATAGTAACCAATTTTTGATGTGAAAACTCCTCTTAATTTGGCTCTAAACACATCAATCAGGCCTTTGAAATGCATCCTCCTCCTTGCCCCTCATATTTTAAACCAACTGTTGTTCACAGACCAGTTTGCACGATAACATTTGTTAAACATAGCTCAGTTTAATCTCGTACCAAAGCAAATTTGGGTTAGGTTCATGTGTGCAGACACAACCTATGAAGAGGGTCCAAAACAGGCGTCCCCAAACTATGGCCCGCGGGCCGCATGCGACCCCCTGAGGCCATTTATCCGGCCCCCCGCCGCACTTCAGGAAGGGGCACCTCTTTCATTGGTGGTCAGTGAGAGGAGCACAGTATGTGGCGGCCCTCCAACGGTCTGAGGGACAGTGAACTGGCCCCCTGTGTAAAACATTTAGGGACGCCTGGTCCAAAAGGCACCCTCCACTATTGCCTGAGGAGCTATGAAAGCAGCAGAAGTAACAGGATCTGTGCTTGGGGCACATAGCAGGTTTCAGAGGATCCTTGTGAAAGACTAGTTAAAAGATGACAAGTGGGAAGAAGTTTGAGGAAAGGAGGAAATTAGTCTGACTGGCTTTCTGTCCTGCACCGTTGATTCAATGGAGACTGGCAGGAGGAAGTGGAAGACTAAGGTTGGAGATGGGATGGGTGGGGCAAGGGATGGAAAGGAAGATGGGGACAACTAATGGGTTCCATTTACAACAATATAAATCAAAAACTTAAAGGAGATTAAAGACCAATCAGAATAATTTGGCAACTTTAATTCTTGGGAAGATCTAAGTTCCCTTTAATCCTAATTTGATGTTTTATTACCAAACTCAAAGAGCAGTATGGTACGCTATTACTCCAGAGAAATTAAAGGAAGATCCTTAGGGCGGCTTCACCCACATTTATTTTATGAATGGTTACCTTCCCTACCTCAAAATGCTTTAGGGAGATACCCACCATTACATGGTTCCTTATTAAATTTGAAAAGTGCCTGAAAGTTTAGGCACCAGAAAGACACCCCAACAACATGTGTCTAAACTGCAACTTTAGGTTAATATGACTAAAGCAGTTACATTGTGAGAAGTGCTGAAGGTATGTGACGTCATTCCTGGCACAAAGGTAGCCTTGGTTCCTCAGCAGATGGTGTAGCCACCATCTGAACCACCCATGAAGGAGTTTCCCTTCTGCTTAGTTACAAGGACACTGGCTTCTGCTTGACTCCAAGCTGAGCAGCATTGGGAGGGCATCCAGGAGGTGTAGGAGGAGTGTTGCCAGTGGTAGCCCAGCTCCAAATCTGGCACCGGCATCATACTCTCCTTCCACCAGCCCTGTAGAGCCAGCTGGATAGATGGGACCCACTGGATAATAAGCCATGGGGATTGTGGAACCAAAGGCCCAACAGCCACAGACTGGGCCATGGGAAGATACAGAGAGGCTCCAGGAAATGCAGCTGACATGGTGGGACTATGGCAGCCCCTGGGTGCACAGTGCTCAGATCAGAGCTCTGAGTAGGCAGGTGGAGCATCAGTATAGGGTGGAGCCTGAGGAATATGCAAGGATTCCCAGGAGGCTGCACAGGGTAGGTTGGCTGTGTTGGATACTGACCTTTGCTGTTCACAGTGGCTGCAGGTCCGGTTCATACTGGCATTGTGGGGACCATTTTTTTCATCCTTTCTGTTCAGAGCCACTTCTGTGTCACGTGACAGTCCCTCTGCCTAACATCACTCAACACCTGAGTGGCGCTGCCTCCCAGTTTTTGAATTTTTAGTAGAGATGGGGTTTCACCATGTTGCTCAGGCTAATCTCAAACACCTGGCCCATCTGCCCGCCCCAGCCTCCCAAAGTGCTGGGATTACAGGCATAAACCACTGCACCTGGCCCTTTCTTCATCTCTTAAAACGAGGGAGTCCTTTTCAGCAGTATAAGAATGGAGTTGGGCCGGGTGCGGTGGCTCAAGCCTGTAATCCCAGCACTTTGGGAGGCCGAGGCGGGTGGATCACGAGGTCAAGAGACCGAGACCATCCTGGTCAACATGGTGAAACCCCGTCTCTACTAAAAATACAAAAAATTAGCCGGGCATGGTGGCGTGTGCCTGTAATCCCAGCTACTCAGGAGGCTGAGGTAGGAGAATTGCCTGAACCCAGGAGGCGGAGTTTGCGGTGAGCCGAGATCACATCATTGCACTCCAGCCTGGGTAACAAGAGCGAAACTCCGTCTCAAAAAAAAAAAAAAGAATGGAGTTGGCCCGCCACAGTGGCTCACACCTGTAATCGCAGCCCTTTGGGAGGATGAGGCGGGCAGATCATGAGGTCAGGAGTTCAACGCCAGCCTGGCCAATATGGCGAAACCCTGCCTCTACTAAAACTACAAAAATTAGCCAGGTGTGGTGGCATGCACCTGTAGTCCCAGTTACTCGGGAGGCTGAGGCAGAAGAATCGCTTGAACCCGGAAGGTGAAGGTTTCAATGAGCTAAGATAGTGCCACTGCACTCCAGCCTGGGCAACAAAGTGAGACTCCGTCTCAAAAAAAACCACTGCGAGTTCTACCTTTCCTTTTACTTTTCCAATAGGAGGCTCGTGGTACTGTAAACCTCATATGTAAATTTACTAAATGAAGAGTTTGATCTTCCGCTAAAATCCAAGATCAACAGCCCCAAGTCTAATTGATAATTATTCAAATCTAAAGTTATCCAGCTAGCTTATAAGGACAATTTCTAGGGTGCTTAATAATTATTGTGATTGGGGTGGGGTTGTCTCCTTAGGCAAAAAGCTGCTTTGGAGAAACATCTTCAATTCCATCAAGAACTCCGTAAAGAAGCCAGTAGCCTGCAGTGGACACACAACATTTCCAGACCATGGGTTTACTCTTATTTCCAGTTCCTACAAATACCCAGGCCTTAACGCTAGAAGAAAACTGAAGAGTAAGTTGGGAGGTGGTGACAAAAAGAGAAACTTCCCTTTATAATAAAGTTCCAAGGGCCAGGCATGGTGGCTCATGCGTGTAATCCCAACATTTTGGGAGGCTGAGGGGGGATGCTTGCCTGAGGCCAGGAGTTCGAGACCATCCCAGGCAACATAGTGGAAACTCCATCTTTATAAAAAAAAAAATTTCAATTAGCCAGGCATGGTGGGGTGTGCCTGTAATCCCAGCTACTCAGGAGGCTGAAGCAAGAGGATCGCTTGAGCCTAGGAGTTCCAGGCTGCGCTGAGCTATGATGGTGCCACTATACTGCAGCCTGGGCGAGAGTGAGACCCTGTCTCTTAAAAGAAGTTTCATCCTGTCCCAGTGCCTCCCCCACTGCATCCCCTCCCCACCTCCCACACACACACACAGTTTCATCCTCACCCCATTTAGTTCCAATTCATCTGGTTAACCTCAACGCAACCTAAGACATTCTTTACTCTGAAACCTCCATTTCCACCACCCCTCAACAACTCACACCACTTTGTTCAACCCAATTGAACTCTTCATTCACCTAAATCCTTTATTTCTCCAGAACCATATAAATCCAGAAGCCTTGGTGCCTAAAACTGCCCATAATTTTAGTCTGAAACACTAACATGGTCTTAAGATAGTCAAAGTATTTCATTTCAGTTAATGTGTCTGAAAGAGTTGCAGATAAATGAAAATTGTGTAATGCAAATAATTTTGAATTAGCTCAGAGAAACTAATTTATATATTCAAATATATGTTAGGAAACTTTATTATACATCTCTCTGTAAAGCAAAACCACAACCATTTTACCCTAAGGATCTAAAACTTAATGTCTATTTAAAACAATGTATATTTGTGTCCGGGCGCGGTGGCTCACGCCTGTAATCCCAGCACTTTGGGAGGCCGAGGCGGGTGGATCACGAGGTCGAGAGATCAAGACCATCCTGGTCAACATGGTGAAACCCCGTCTCTACTAAAAATACAAAAAATTAGCTGGGCATGGTGGCGTGTGCCTGTAATCCCAGCTACTCGGGAGGCTGAGGCAGGAGAATTGCCTGAACCCAGAAGGCGGAGGTTGCGGTGAGCCGAGATCACGCCATTGCACTCCAGCCTGGGTAACAAGAGCGAAACTCCGTCTCAAAAAAAAAAAAAAAAAAAAGAACAATGTATATTTGTAATCACTTGATAAATGTTGATTTCAGCAAAATGAGCTGTTTTGTGAGGTCATTCTTGTATATTTGTAATCACTTGATAAATGTTGATTTCAGCAAAATGAGCTGTTTTGTGAGGCCACTCTCATATCCTCAAAGTATATATTCTAGAGCTGCACTGTTGAGTAACACAGCACCAGCTTATGTAGCTATTTTAATTTGTTAAAACCTTCTTCAGTCACAACAGCCCCATTTCAAGTGCTCAGTGGTGATATGTGGCTACTGGCTACTGTACTGTACAGCACAGATGTAGAATATTTCCATGACAGGAAATTATATTAGGCAGCATTATTCTAGAGCCCTGAACATTAATAAACCTTGAGTTTTAGCCCCCGTGCCTTGAAGAATTAACCACCACAAAATTTCTCCAATTGAAAAATTATTGCCGGGCGCGGTGGCTCAAGCCTGTAATCCCAGTACTTTGGGAGGCCGAGGCGGGTGGATCACAAGGTCAAGAGATCGAGACCATCCTGGTCTACATGGTGAAACCCGTCTCTACTAAAAATACAAAAAAAATTAGCTGGGCATGGCGGCGCGTGCGTGTAATCCCAGCTACTCAGGAGGCTGAGGCAAGAGAATTGCCTGAACCCAGGAGGCGGAGGTTGCGGTGAGCCGAGATCGCGCCATTGCACTCCAGCCTGGGTAACAAGAGCGAAACTCCGTCTCAAAAAAAAAAAAAAAAAGAAAGAAAGAAAAATTATTGATTCTACCAGGATTTTTTTTTTTTTTTTTTTAAACAGTCTCACTCTGTAGCCCAAGGTAGAGTGCAGTGGCACAATCACAGCTCACTGCTGTCTTGACCTCGCGGGCTCAAGCAATCCTCCCATCTCAGCCTTCCAAGTAGCTGGGACTACAGGCATGCACCACCACATTTGGCTAATTTGTGTATTTTTAGTACAGACAGGGTTTTGTCATGTTGCTCAGGCTGGTCTCAAACTCCTGGGTTTGACTGATCTGCCTGCTTCAGCCTTCCAAAGTGCTGGGTCACAGGCACAAGCCACTGTGCCAGGCCCAGGATGAGCCTGGATTAGATATTTATCTTTAACATCGCTCTTTTAATATTTAATAAAATAAATAATAAAATAAAGAAAAAAAGAAAAAAATACGTATTTTTAAAAACACCAAAAAAGCCGGGCGCGGTGGCTCAAGCCTGTAATCCCAGCACTTTGGGAGGCTGAGGCGGGTGGATCACGAGGTCAAGAGATCGAGACCATCCTGGTCAACATGGTGAAACCCCGTCTCTACTAAAACTACAAAAAATAAGCTGGGCATGGTGGCGTGTGCCTGTAATCCCAGCTACTCAGGAGGCTGAGGCAGGAGAATTGCTTGAACCCAGGAGGCAGAGGTTGCGGTGAGCCGAGATCGCGCCATTGCACTCCAGCCTGGGTAACAAGAGTGAAACTCCGTCTCCAAAAAAAAAAAAAAAAAAAAAAAAAAAACACCAAAAAAAAACCACCAGAAAATACAAAAAATAAAAATAAAGAAAAAAAATTTAATAAAATATCCCTTTAACAAAATGGATGATGAAAGATATTTTTAGCATACGAGTTATATAAAAGAATGTTATTTAGCCAGGCGCAGTGGCGCAAGCCTGTAATCCCAGCACTTTGGGAGGCTGAGGCGGGTGGATCACGAGGTCAAGAGATCGAGACCATCCTGGTCAACATGGTGAAACCCTGTCTCTACTAAAAATACAAAAAATTAGCCGGGCATGGTGGCGCGTGCCTGTAATCCCAACTACTCAGGAGGCTGAGGCAGGAGAATTGCTTGAACCCAGGAGGCGGAGGTTGCGGTGAGCCGAGATCGCGCCATTGCACTCCAGCCTGGGTAACAAGAGTGAAACTCCGTCTCAAAACAACAACAACAACAACAACAACAAAAAGCCATTTTCTCAAGCTTGTGGACCTTAACTCCACATTCATTCATTCAATCAATTCATTCAACAGTACTTAATCAGTAAGAAAGGAACATCTCAAATAATTCAACCTACAACAGCACAAACACAAGGAAATCATCCTTGTGGGGGAAATTACCATTGCTGACTTTAGTTTCTCCCTTCTTTTACAGATTTAGACATTGCAGTCAAGCACCAGATAAGAGTGGCTTCACTAAATTTTATTCAAGGTCCTTTAAGAAATCTGATAATGTGGCCGGGCGCCGTGGCTCAAGCCTGTAATCCCAGCACTTTGGGAGGCCGAGGCGGGTGGATCACGAGGTCAAGAGATCGAGACCATCCTGGTCAATATGGTGAAATCCCGTCTCTACTAAAAATACAAAAAAGTAGCTGGGCATAGTGGCACATGCCTGTAATCCAAGCTACTCAGAAGGCTGAGGCAGGAGAATTGCCTGAACCCAGGAGGCGGAGGTTGCGGTGAGCCGAGATCGCGCCATTGCACTCCAGCCTGGGTAACAAGAGCAAAACTCCGTCTCAAAAAAAAAAAAAAAGAAATCTGATAATGTGTTAAAATTTTTGTTGTGAAATGCCTATTTATCAGCACTGCTAATCAGATAAACACGTTTAAGTTAACAGAGTGCAGTGCGTTTAGAAGAATCCAAAAAACTAAAAACAAGAAAATTATTTCCCCAGTAGCTAAATCACACCACCTAAATCCTGAGGGCCTTCAGACATTTAGAGATGCAAACGAAATTGAGATACCAAACTGGCTGGCATGGTGGCTCACACCTGTTAGTCAGGAGTTCACGACCAGCCTGACCAACATGAAGAAACCCTGTCTCTACTAAAAATACAAAAAGTAGCCGGGCGTGGTGGTACATGCCTGTAATCCCAGCTACTCAGAAGGCTGAGACAGGAGAATCACTTGAACCTGGGATGTGAAGGCTGAGGTGAGCCTAGATCACGCCATTGCACTCCAGCCTGGGCAACAAGAGTGAAACTCTGTCTAAAAAAAAAAGATGCCGCACTATAGATTCACATAGTTCAAACACCCAATCAGATCTGTTTTTCAGTCTTGACAGAAATATGCAACTCTGGAGGATTTTCTTAAAATAGGCCTAGTTCCGAGTCACTGTTTAAGGAATACAAGGATAAATATCAAGTGACAATCTAAAAGCTCTAACTTACACCATACAAATAATTTTTCAGTCAGGGTCAAACATAAGAACTGTAAGATCAAACCAATCTCTTTCTCAAAAGGTGACCTGAGTAGGTATGTAAGCTATAAGAGTTTACAGCTTATGCATTCAAGGTGGGTTTTATTTGGTCTTCTGAAGTAGTTAGATGACATTCTATTTGAGATAATATGAAACTGGACTGTATGTATGCAAAGATATAGTAAATTCTGTGATTCATTAGCATTAAAAATAAAAGTTAAGCCCTCTAATAGGAACAAACTAATCTGATTTGATTTTTACACAAAGTTTAAATATTTAAGATATAAATAAATAAGGCCACACCAGGTGCAGTAGCTCAAGCCTGTAATCCCAAAACCTTGGGAGGCTGCGGGGGGCGGATCACGAGGTCAAGAGATGGAGACCATCCTGGCCAACATGGTGAAACCCCATCTCTAATAAAAATACAAAAATTAGCTGGGCGTGGTGGCACGCGCCTGTAGTCCCAGCTACTTGGGAGGCTGAGGCAGGAGAATCACTTGAACCCAGGAGGCAGAGGTTGCAGTGAGCTGAGATCACACCACTGCACTCCAGCCTGGTGACACAGCAAGACTCCGTCTCAAAAAAAGAAAAAAAAGGAAAGAAAGAAAACCAGGCCAGGCACAGTGGCTCAAGCCTGTAATCCCAGCACTCTGGGAGGCTGAGGTGGGCAGATCACAAGGTCAGGAGTTCGAGACCAGCCTGACCAATATGGTGAAACCCTATCTCTACTAAAAATACAAAAATTAGCCAGGCATGGTGGCGCACCTATAGTCCCAGCTACTTCGGAGAGTGAGGCAAAAGAATTGCTTAAACCTGGGAGGCAAAGGTTGCTGTGAGCCGATCACACCACTGCACTCCAGCCTGGGTGACAGAGCAAGACTCCATCTCAAAAAAAAAAAAAAACTACACACACACACACACACACACACACAGAGAGAGAGAGAGAGAGAGAGAGAGAGAGAGAGAGAGAAATAAAAGGAAAATATAAAATATACCAAGCCTTAGCGGTAAAGGAACAACGGAAATTATCAATATAAATCAATTAAGAATTTTTGGCATGCCCATTTATTCAACATGATTAGGTAACTGTATCATATGTATGTTCCATACAGGAATATCAAGTTTAAAAAAAAAAAAAAAACAGAACACTGAGTATTAAAAAAAGTAATTGTGGCCCTAATTAAATCCTTGATTCAGAAGGCACTTCAGTAACTTTCAGTGCTTCAGTCATTAACATCATCACTGTACAGTAATGAAGAAAAATTTTGTACTAATTTCCAGTATCTATGCAAGAAAACCTTACTTTAGGCATTTTTTTCCGTTACAATTGAAATAAAATAAGCATTAGTACGATTTTTACAAATATCGTTTATTTTAATGAAGCTGGTACAGACAATGTCCATTTAAAACCCATATCCCAGGCCAAAAAGGTACAAATAAAATCAAAAAGAGCAGTGTTCTGTTGTATTCATTTCTGCATGTATAGCTTTATTAATTGCTAATGAAAATTAGAACTTTTCTGGGATCTTCTGACAAGATTTTTTAAAAATCTTAAAATGCCTTTTCTTCAGTGAAGCCATCTTTGGAGTTACTCTCACCTTATCTGTCATCTTGACTTCAACCTGATATTCCTCTTCTTTTGGTCCAGACCCTCAAATTTTAAAAGTAGCTTCATTAAGGAAAGGTCATTTTTCCACAGTTCAGTTCTCTGAAAAACTTCCATCTCCCACTGAAAGTCACAGTCCAGGAGTGAAGCAATCACATGCTACAACATCAGGGCCAATTGGAAAGTCATTATGAACACTTGCATTGGTCGATCTTATTTATCACCCCAAGCCTGAAAATGCAATGTCCTGAAAAAGGTGCCCTCTCTGTGCACACGTAATTTTTAAAAAGGAAAGGGCAATATGAAGGGGACTGAGGCTTGATCACCAAAAATCAGCACAATGAAAACAAACAATAATGAATAATGACCACTAGAATTCAAATTACCAGATGTTTCAAAGAGATGGGGTGCCAGTTTTCAATTCTGTTTTGAACACCACATTACAAAAGAACTAGTTTTAAAAATAAAAAAGGATTGAGGGAAAAGAAAAAAAATAAAAAGATTATCTAAACTGTTGAATGACCCCCCGTTTGTTCCTGATAAACTTCAATCACATCTTCTTCCTCCATTCCCAGCTGTAAGAGGAAAGAAAAATGTTAGTAGAATACAAAAGCACTGTTTTTAAATTGGCTACAATTATGTGGCCACCGATTTAAAAGTGCAAAGAGATCCAAATGTGACCCATACTTAAAATCCTCTAAGATTAAGAATCCTGCTTTCTGGCCGGGCGTGGTAGCTCACGCCTGTAATCCCAGCACCTTGGGAGGCCAAGGAGGGTGGATCATTTGAGGTCAGGAGTTTGAGACCAGCCTGGCCAACATGGTGAAACCCCATCTCTATTAAAAATACAAAAAGTAGCTGGACACCTGTAATTCCAGATACTTGGAAGACTGAAACAGAAGAATCACTTGAACCCAGGAGGCAGATGTTGCAGTGAGCCAAGATCATACCACTACACTCCAGTCTGGGTGACACAGTAAGACTCCATCTCAAAAAAAAAGAAAGAAAAAAAAGAATCCTGGCTGGGCACGGTGGCTCACACCTGTAATCTTAGCACTTTGGGAGGTTGAGGTGGGCAGATCACAAAGTCAAGAGATCATGACCATCTTGGCCAATATGGTGAAACCCCATCTCTACTAAAAATACAAAAATTAGCTGGGAGTGGTGGCGGGCGCCTGTAATCCCAGCTACTTGAGAGGCTGAGGCAGGAGAATTACTTCAACCCAAGAGGCAGAGGTTGCAGTGAGCAGAAATTGCACCACTGCACTCCAGCCTGGGTGATAGAGGGAGACTACATCTCAGAAAAAAAAAAAAAAAGAAAGAATCCTATTTTCTTTAAAGAACACAGAGGTGTCTTTCCTTCTCATTCTGTCTATTGAGTTATCCACCTTACTTTCCTGAGTCAATTTCACTACCAAGGGTTATTCACTGTTTAAAACTGAAGTGTTGGCTGGGCACGGTGGCTCACGCCTCTAGTCCCAGCACTTGGCCAGGCCGAGGTGGATGGATCACTTAAGGTCAGGAGTTCAAGACCAGCCTGGCCAACATCATGAAACCCCGTCTCTACTATAACTATATAAATCAGCCGGGTGTAGTGGCGCATATCTATAGTTCCAGCTACTCGGGTAGCGCAGACAGGAGAATTGCTTGAATCCAGGAGGCAGAGGTTACAGAGAGCCGAGATCACACCACTGCACTCCAGCTTGGGCAACAGAGCAAGACCCCATCTCAAAAAAAAAAAAAAAAGGTGTTTTTAACAACTATGTTAAAGAACTTTTCAATCTAATGAAACATGTATTTAATAGTTTAAATGATAGTTTGACAGCATATTTACTAATTTGTTGTTTGTTTGTTTGTTTGTTTTTGAGACAGGGTCTCATTATGTTGCCCAGGCTGGAGTACAATGGCACAATCTCAGCTCACTGCAACCTTGGCCTCCTGGGCTCAACCTCAGCTCACTGCAACCTCAGCATCCTGGGCTCAACAAATCCTCCCATCTCAGCCTCCCCGGTAGCTGGTACTACAAGCGCATGCCACCATAGCCAGCTAATTTCTCTATTTTCAGTAGAGACATGGTTTCACCATGTTGCCCAGGATGGTCTCAAACTCTTGACTTAACAGTGATGCAGCCCACCTCAGCCTCCCAAAGTGCTGGGATTACAGGCGTGGATCACTGTGCCTAATCGAAAAGTTTTAAATTTTATATGTAACATCTTTGTGTAGAATTTTGACTATGAAAATTAAATATGTTTAAAAAAATAAGAAATTTAAACATAACAGATATGAATTAGGATTCTAAAATGATCTGAATGGCTCTAGTGTTAAGCCTTCTTGGTTGTGGCACATTTATTAATATTTAAATAATTATTAAAGATGCTTGCCGGGCGCGGTGGCTCAAGCCTGTAATCCCAGCACTTTGGGAGGCTGAGGCGGGTGGATCATGAGGTCGAGAGATCGAGACCATCCTGGTCAACATGGTGAAACCCCGTCTCTACTAAAAATACAAAAAAATTAGCTGGGCATGGTGGCGCGTGCCTGTAATCCCAGCTACTCAGGAGGCTGAGGCAGGAGAATTGCCTGAACCCGGGAGGCGGAGGTTGCGGTGAGCCGAGATCAGCGCCATTGCACTCCAGCCTGGGTAACAAGAGCGAAACTCTGTCTCAAAAAAAATAAAAAATAAAAAATAAAGATGCTTTTAAAACAATTTTAATTGCTCATATAGCATGGTAATTATTGCAAAGAATAAAATTCCAAATTGTTATTAGAAATCTTCAAAACAGGAAGACAGCACGAGTCCCTGGGCTATAAAGAAGTACACTCACAGAAACAAGTGAACAACAGCCCAGGAGGGTCACTCCCTTAAAGACCTACTCTCGCCAGGCACGGTGGCTCAAGCCTGTAATCCCAGCACTTTGGGAGGCCGAGGCGGGCGGATCACGAGGTCAAGAGATCGAGACCATCCTGGTCAACATTGTGAAACCCCGTCTCTACTAAAGGTGCAAAAAATTAGCTGGGTGGGCCAGGCGCGGTGGCTCAAGCCTGTAATCCTAGCACTTTGGGAGGCCGAGACGGGTGGATCGCGAGGTCAAGAGATCGAGACCATCCTGGTCAACATAGTGAAACCCCGTCTCTACTAAAAATACAAAAAATTAGCTGGGCATGGTGGCACGTGCCTGTAATCCCAGCTACTCAGGAGGCTGAGGCAGGAGAATTGCCTGAATCCAGGAGGCGGAGGTTGCGGTGAGCTGAGATCGCGCCATTGCACTCCAGCCTGGGTAACAAGAGCGAAACTCCGTCTCAAAAAAAAAAAAAAAAAAAAAGACCTACTCTCTCCCACTGCCCCAACATTCCTCTGAAAAGATAGTCTCTTAATTACAAGGAATGTCTAAGGCATGTGTCAGTAAAATGTATTAGGTATCTACTGTATGGTCCCAGAGATTATGCCAAGTTTGGTCAAGAAATTACAAGATGAGTTTGGAACTTATTGTGCCACAAAGTAAGGAAGTGTTCAAGAAGGTGGTAGATACTAAACCTAAGGGGAACATTTAATGATAAAGGGGATATTCACACGGTTTCAAAGTATGTCCCCTCAAATTACTTAATTATAAGAGGAAAACAGTTAACTACACAGTTTTTTTTTAAAAAAAAAAAAAAAGACAACACTTAAACTAAGTGATCAAAGCCTGGCAACACAGGGAAACTCCATCTCTATAAAAAATTTAAAAATTAGCAGAGTATGGTGGCACATGCCTATAATCCCAGCTACTCAGGAGGCTAACAGTGATAGTGTAGGACTGCTTGAGCCCAGAAGTTTGTGGCTGCAGTGAGCTATGACTACGTTCCAGCCTAGGTGATATAGCAAGAGACCTTGTCTCAAAGAAAAGAGGAAAAAAAAAAAAAAAAAAAAAATATATATATATATATATATATATATATATGTATATCTTCCTGCATCAATTCACTTAGAAAAAAAGAAAAAAACTAAGTCTCACGTATGCTTAAAAATAACAACAAAAAAAAAAAAAGCCCAAGTGATAAAAGATTAACATCACCAGCTGGGCACAGGTGGCTCACACCTGTAATCCCAGCACTTTGGAAGACTGAGGCAGGCGGATCACCTGAGGTCAGGAGTTCGACACCAGCCTGACCAAGATGGAGAAACCCTGTCTCTACTAAAAATACAAAATTAGCCAGGTATGGTGGCGCATGCCTATAATCCCAGCTACTCGGGAGGCTGAGGCAGGAGAATCACTTGAATCTGGGAGGCAGAGGTTGCAATGAGCCAAGATCGCACCATTGCACTCCAGCCTGACAATAAGAACAAAACTCCATCTCAAAAAAAAAAAAAATTAACATCACCAATAAGGGGGCTTCATGGCTTCATGTGCTCCAAGTATAACCTGAGAAAGACACATTCATTTATACAGTATTCCAGCCAAAAATATATAGCTTGAATCTAGTCATGAAGGAAGAGACAACCCCAAAGTAAGGGACTGTCTAGAAAATAATTGGTTGGTATTCTGAAAAAATGTCAATGTTATGAAAGACAATGAAAGGCCAAAGAACTGTTCCAAATAAAAGGTGATTAAAGGCACACTCTAATAAAATATGTAATACTAAACTGAATCCTGTGCTGGGGAGGAAATTTGTTATACGACATAATTGGGACAAAAGACAAAATCAGGTTGTACATTAAGATTAAAGTATTCTAATAGTGTTACGTTTCCTGAATTTGATTAATAGTACAGTGGTAATGTAAAATAATACATTTCTTAAAAAATGCACACTTAACAAGGCATAAATGGCCATAGTGTACCTGCTACTCCCAAACGGTTTGGAGGAAGAGGAAAAATACACACACACACACACACACACACACACACACACACACGCACAAAAATAATTAAGCAAAGATATCACAATGTTAAAAATAGGTGAATCTGGCTGGGCACAGTGGCTCACACCTGTAATATCAGCACTTTGGGAGGCCAAGGAGCGTGGATCACCAGAGGCCAGGAGTTCAAGACCAGCCTGACCAACATGGCGAAACCTCATCTCTACTAAAAAAAAAAAAGAATAGCCAGGCATGGTGGCACATGCCTGTAATCCCAGCTACCTGGGAGGCTGAGGCAGGAGAATCACTTGAACCCAGGAGGTGGAGACTGCAATGAGCTGAGATTGTGCCATTGCACTCTAGCCTGAGCAACAAGTATAAAACTCCGTCTCAAAAAAAAAAAAAAAAAAAAAACAAGGTTAATCTTGGTGGAAAAAAGTTGCCATACTGTTCTTGCAAACTCCGTAAAATAAAAATTGTTTCAGGCCAGGCATGGTGGCTCATGCCTGTAATCCCAGCACTTTGGGAGGCCGAGACAGCAGATCACCAGGAGTTCGAGACCGGCCAACATGGTGAAACCCCATCTCTACTAAAAATACAAAAATTAGCCGGGCATGATGGCACGTGCCTTTAACCCCAGCTATTCGAGAAGCTGAGGCAGGAGAATCGCTTGAACCCAGGAGATGGAGGTTGCAGTGAGCCGAGATCGCACCAACACACTACAGCTTGGGCCACCAAGTGAGTGCCACCCACCCCGCTCGCGCGCTCTCTCTCTCTCTCTCTCTCTCTCTCTCTCTCTATATATATATATATATATATACACACATACATATGTGTCTGTGTGTGTATGTGTGTGTATTTTTTTCAAAGAAAAAACATTTAAAAATGGAAAAATGTCAAAAAGAACACAGATGCCAAGGTAAAGGCATTCCCACTGGCAACCATCTAAAGAGGGATATTAATATAGTTTCAAAGCAACTTCCCACGGATTACTTATTAATTACATGGGAAAAGTATAACTTTATATTGGGTAAATCTGCCAGTTACCACCTTAACTAAGTGACCAAAGTTAACATTAACAGGACAGTCATCATGTACTTCCTGACATAATACACTCAGAAGTACACAGCTTCAATCTGTGCCATCCCCCACCCAAAAAAAAAAAAAAAGCAAAACTTAATCTAATCATGAGGAAACATTACACAAACCCAAAGTGAAGGACTTAAAAGAAAAAAAAAAAAAGGCAATATGATTATAAAAGACCGAGGAACTGTTCCAGATCCAAGAAAGCTAAAGAGGCATGACAGGCCAGACCTGGTGGCTGACGTCTGTAACCCCAGCACTTTGGGAGGCCAAGGTGGGCAGATCACTTGAGGTCAGGAGTTCGAGACCAGCCTGACCAATACGGTAAAACCCCATCTCTACTAAAAATACAAAAAAATTAGCCGGGCATGGTGGCACACCCCTGTAGTCCCAGCTACTTGGGAGGCTGAGGCAGGAGAATTGCTTGAACCCGGAGGCAGAGGCTGCAGTGAGCTGAGATCGCACCACTGGACTCCAGCCTGGGCAAGAAAGTGAGATTCCGTCTCAAAAACAAAGAGGCATGACAAGACAAGTAGTTAGAATGCATATCCTGGATGAGTCAGGTAAAAAGATGTTTATAAAGGACCTTATTGGGAAAGACAGCAACATCTGACTATTTTAACTGCATACTCAATAACAGGCCAGGCATGGTGGCTTGCCTGTAATCCCAGCACTTTGGGAGGCTGAGGCAGGAGGATCACTTGAGGCCAGGTGTTCAAGACCAGCCTGACCAACATGGCAAAACTCTGTCTCTACTAAAAACACAAAAATTAGCTGGGCATGGTGGCAAACACCTGTAATTCCAGCTATTTGAGTGGCTGAGGCATGAGAATTGCTTCAACCCAGGAGGTGGAGGTTGCACTGTGCTCCAGCCTGGGCGACAGACCAAGATGGTCTCAAAAAATAAAAATAAAAAATAAAAATGCCAGGCATAGCGGCTCATGCCTGTAATCCCAGCACTTTGGGAGGCCAAGGCGGGTGGATCACAGGTCAGGCGTTTGAGACCAGCCTGGCCAACACGGTGAAACCCTGTCTCTACTAAAAATACAAAAAAATTAGCCAGGTATGGTGGCATGCATCTGTAATCCCAGCTACTCAAGAGGCCGAGGCAGGAGAATTGCTTGAACCCGGGAAGCGGAATTTGCAGTGAGCCAAGATCGTGCCACTGCACTCCAGCCTGGGTGACAGAGTGACACTCCATCTCAAAAAAAAGAAAAAAATAAGAAGAATGTAGCCATGTTAGATCTCCCACATTTGACAACTGAACTGTGGCTCTTAGACGATAACGCACTAAAATATTTAGCAGTAAAAGGTCATGCTACCTGCACCTTAATCTCAAATGGTTCAGCAATAATAATAATATATGTCTATAAAGAGAGTGATAAAAAGAAATGCTGCACACTATTTTATTTGTATTTTGTTTTTGTTTTTGTTTTTTTTGAGACGGGGACTCACTCTATCGTCCAGGCTGGTCTTGAATTCTTGGGCTCACTCATGTGATCCTCCCACTTCAGCCTACCAAGTAGCTAGGACCACAGGCATGTACCACCATGCCCAGCTATCAAATGCCGCACAATTTTATCTAATTTTATTTATTTATTTATTTAGAGACAGGGTCTCACTCTTGTCACCTAGGCTGCAGCACAGTGACACAATCAGGGTTCACTGCACCATCGACCTCCTGGGCTCAAGTGATCCTTCCACCTCAGCCCCCAAGTAGCTGGGACTATAGGAACACACCACCGAGATAATTTTTTTTTTTTTTTTTTTTTTTAAGTAGAGACAGGTTTCATCATGTTGCCCAGGCTGGTCTCGAACTCCAAGACTCAAGTGATCCACCCACTGCAGCCTCCCTAAGTGCTAGGATTACAGGGGTGAGCCACCATGCCTGGCCCAAATGCTGTGCAATTTTAACTGGTCTAAGGAATAGGTATATAGGAGATTATTATTCTATTCTCAGAATTGAGTAAGTTTGAAATGTTTTCAAAATAAAAAATTAATAATCCTATATTGTTCCCACTATCTGAAATATCAGTAATGTTACTCTGGGTATGAAGAAGGGAATCTATGTACATAGATACACACACACGCACGCACGCGCACACACACACACATACACTCTCTCTCTCTCTCTCTCTCTCTCTCTCTCTCTCTCTCTCCCCCCCCCTTTTGAGATATCTCTATGGAGGGGAGATGGGTGGAATATAAAAGCAAAGAAAACCACTCACACAATAAAAACATTAAATGAAGACACAGAAGCATAAAAAAAAGCATAAAACAAGATGACAGAGCCAAATATATTTATATACACTATGCTTCTGTATTAACATTCTCAAAATGGTTCAAAAATCAAAATCCATTAACGTATACCAGAAATTTGACAAATTTTAGGAATATTTGTCCATCTTCAAAAGAGATGTAGCATGTGCCCTATGACAATTTCAGTATTCATTATGTTTCTACCTCCCTTTTTATTGGCACTTTTGAAGGCACCATAGAGAAGTTCAACCCAAAACATTATTTCTTCTCTCCAACAAATGATAGGCCATTTAAATCAGAGAATATTTAAGAAAAGGGCAGTTTAATACCAGTGAACCAAACTGCTCAAAGGAGAATTTAAATTTTTTCCTGACTCAGGAAAAATGTATACTCACTTCTTTTGGAGTATGATTATCAGCAATTCTCTGACCCTCAAAGAGAAACCTGAGTGAATTCATTGGAACGCCCTAAAAAAGGTAAAAATAATAGTAATATATACATACACACCCAAATCTTAGAAAACATTATGGTAACTCTGATGCACAAAAGCCAAGCATGAAAGCCTTAGAACTAAACAGAAAATATAACTAGATAGCTAACTCAATCATAAATACCATATACATAGTAGTAACTATTTGCAAGGCCCTCCCTGTACCAATTACTTTACATATATAATGATAAGAGTTAAGCACAACAACACTGGAAGGTAGGTATTATCACTTTATCTTCACTTTACAGCTTGGGAACCTAAGGCTTGGAGCTAGCCAAGAATTGAAGCCCAAACCTGTTTCTAAGCCTGTGCTCTTGACCACTACTAGATTCATTTTGCCCTAAATCTGTTGAGCTAGCATAAAAGATAAACTCAGAAACTAAATGAGCACCCTTACTAGCTTCCAACTACACTGGCAAAATTGGTTTTAAACAGATTAAATCACAAAATTTAGTAAAGCACAATGGCTAGCTAATCTACCATAAACCTGGATGGCACAGATAGTACCATAAATATTACAAAAGAGCCGGGCGCGATGGCTCAAGCCTGTAATCCCAGCACTTTGGGAGGCCGAGGCGGGTGGATCACGAGGTCAAGAGATCAAGACCATCCCGGTCAATGTGGTGAAACCCCGTCTCTACTAAAAATAGAAAAAAAAAAAGTAGCTGGGCATGGTGGCACATGCCTGTAATCCGAGCTACTCAGGAGGCTGAGGCAGAGAATTGCCTGAACCCAGGAGGCGGAGGTTGCAGTGAGCCGAGATCGCGCCATTGCACTCCAGCCTGGGTAACCAAAAAAAAAAAAAAAAAAAAAATTACAAAAGATATTAGTATAGGCCAGGTGCTGTGGCATAATCCCAGCACTCTGGGAGGCCATGGCAGGAGGATCACAAGGTCAGGAGTTCAAGACCAGCCTGACCAACACAACATCTCTACTAAAAATACAAAAATTAGCCAGCATGTTGATGTTCATCTGTAATCCCAGCTACTCAGGAAGCTGAGACAGGAGAATCACTTGAGCCTGGGAGGCAGAAACTGCCATGATGTGAGATCGTGCCACTGCACTCCAGCCTAGGTGACAGAGCAGAGAGATAGCTCACTTGAGGTCAGAAGTTCGAGACCAGTCTGGCCAACATAATGAACCCTTGTCTCTACTAAAAATACAAAAATTATGGGATGGGCGCAGTGGTTCAGCCTGTAATCCCAGCACTTTGGGAGGCCTAGGCAGATCACTTGAAATCAGGAGTTCGAGACCAGCCTGGCCAACATGGTGAAACCCCATTTCTACCAAAAATACAAAAATCAGCCTGGCAGCGTGGCGCATGCCTGTAATCTGAGCTACTCAGGAGGCTGCAACAGGAGAATCGCTTAAACCTGGGAGGTAGAGGTTGCACTGAGCCAAAGTCACATCACTGCACTCCAGCCTGGGCAACAGAGCAAGACCCTGTATAAATAAATAAATAAGAAAATTAGCCAGGCCTGGTGGCAGGTGCCTGCAATCCCAGGTACTCAGGAGACTGAGGCAAGAGAATCACTTGAGTCCAGGAGGTGGAGGTTGCAGTGAGCCAAGATGGCAACACCGTACTCCAGCCCAAGCGACAAGGGGAGACTCCATCTCAACAACAGCAAAAAAATCAATTCCCTGGCCTATAGATGGGAGGGGTGTAAAGGCTATATGAATTTTCTTCAGAGTTATGAGGATTAAGTGACAATATATCTTAAATACCTGTGGCACAGTACAGATAAATTACATTTCAATAAATGTTTCTTTCCTCTGATGAATTTCATCTAAATTTTAATACCCAAAGTTATTACAAATGTGAAGTAGCTGAAACCAATTAATGAGATTTTATTAAATTTAACAATTAAAATCTACAAAACCAGGAGACAAAAATACTATTGTTTTACTTATCCTAACAACCAGTCTTTCTTATAAATTATTTTTATGTTAGTTACAAATCTAAATGGTTAAAAGCAAACCTTCTAAAAACAAAATCTACAATGCCTGAGTTAATATACTTCAATTTTAATAGACTGATTAAACACGTATTTCTTGCTTATTAAATCATAATTTCACTTAAACTATATCTTCTTTGTCTCATATATATTAATCCCAGTTACATTTATTTTAAAAACCTGTTTTATGAATAACAATAGTTAACATGTATTGATCATTTTTAGGCACCACATTAAGAGGTTTATGTAGAATATCTCAAGTCATCATGATGTGGCCCTACAAAATTCTCATTTTACTAACTGAAGAAACAAGGCACACAGAGGTTAAATAACTTGCCCAAAGTCACACAGCAAGAGAGTGGTGAAGCCCAAATGTGAACCAGGCAGGTTGGTGGAATTATTGATCTAATAAAAATTTATTATTGATCTAATAAAAACTAGCTCTTGAAGGCCAAAATTTGTGATGATTTGGTATTAACTAGACTTCTACATAAATTTTCTTTAAACAGACAAAATTCCTTCATGTTGAAAATACGGGGCCTGGCACAGTGGCTCACGCCTATAACCCCAGCATTTTGGGAAGTTGAGGTGAGCGCAGGAGTTTGACAGCAGCCTGGGCAACATGGCAAAACCCTGTCTCTACTAAAAATACAAAAATTAGCTGGGTATGGTGACACATGCCTTTAGTTCCTGCTACTGCTTGGAAGGCTGAGGTAGGAGGAATCCTTGAGCCCAAGAGGCAGAGGTTGCAGTGAGCCGCGATAGTGCCACTGCACTCCAGCATGGGTAACGGAGTAAGACTCTATCTCAAAAAAAAAGAAGGCAATTAGAAGTAACATGTACTGGCCGGGCTCGGTGGCTCAAGCCTGTAATCCCAGCACTTTGGGAGGCTGAGGCGGGTGGATCACGAGGTCGAGAGATCGAGACCATCCTGGTCAACATGGTGAAACCCCGTCTCTACTAAAAATACAAAAAAATTAGCTGGGCATGGTGGCACGTGCCTGTAATCCCAGCTACTCAGGAGGCTGAGGCAGGAGAATTGCCTGAACCCAGGAGGCGGAGGTTGCGGTGAGCCGAGATCGCGCCATTGCACTCCAGCCTGGGTAACAAGAGCGAAACTCCATCTCAAAAAAAAAAAAAAAAAAAAAAAAAAAAAAGAAGTAACATGTACTACTACATATAAAGATAATATACCAATAATACTACTACTTAAATTTAACAATATGGCTAAACACTCATGTTTAGAAGTACAAAAAAATTCATAGTAATCACCAAAAAATTACTTGCCTTTATTGCTACATATACTGGTAAGCCATCAAGACAGAAACATTCATTTGAGCTGTTTTTAAAATTCTGAATTACTTTTCAAACTACTTCCACATCTTATGAATACAAACTTTAAAATGGTCCACAAAATTTAAAAAAAAAAAGCAATTAAACAGGGTACAAGAACTGATAAAGTAAACCCTAATGTAAACTATGAACTTTGGGAGATAATGATGTGTCAATGAGGTTCATCAGTTTTAACAAATGTACCACTCTGGTGTGGGATACTGATAATGATGGAGGTTGCCCAGGGGGGAAGGGGATATATGAAAAATCTCTGTACCTTCTACTCAATATTGCTATAAATTTAAAACCACTCTTAAAAAATAGTCTTTTAGATTTTTTTTTTCTTCCACCACCTCCCCCTTTTTTATCAAGTCTCACTCTGTTGCCCAAGGTGGAGTGCAGTGGTGTGATCTCGGCTCACTGCAACCTCCACCTCCCAGTTCAAGCAAGTTTTTTCCTTGAGTTGCTAATGGTGAAAATCATAAAACAGAATTTTTCTTTTGACCGCCTTCTATTAAAAAAAAAATTAACGACAAAGCATTGTACTTAATACCAAAATATACAAACCTGTCTTTGACAATATGATTCTTTGAGTTTCTTGAGATGTGTTGTCATTTTCACTTTGAAGTGAATCTCACTGCTATCCTAAGGAGGAAAAAGAGAAAAAAAAAAATTATCCCTTTGTATAAAATCATTTGCTTTACTTAAACCAAATTATATAATTACACATATTGTGCAAATAGAAACATAAATCTTGGCTAGGCGTGATGGTTCATGCCTGTAATCCCTGTACTTTGGGAACCTGAGGCAGGTAGATCACAAGCTCAGGAGTTCAAGACCAGCCTGGCCAAGATGTGAAACCCTGTCTCTACTAAAAATACAAAAATTAGCTGGGCCTTGTGGCACATGCCTGTAGTCCCAGCTACTCAGGAGGCTGAGGCAGAAGAATCACTTGAACCCAGGAGGCAGAGGTTGTAGTGAGCCAAGATTGAGCCACTGCACTCCAGCCTAGCGATAAAGTGAGACTCCATCTCAAAAAAAAAAAAAAAAAGAAAGAAAGAAAAGAAAAGAAACAAAACATAAACCTAGTCACCTGTATTTTTCCACCACAATATTCTTTTTAGCATTCTTAACAGGTTTTCTTCAAACAATCTCTATCGGCCAGACACGATGGCTCACACCTGTAATCCCAGCACTTTGGGAAGCTGAGGTACGCAGATCACCAGGTCAAGAGAGCAAGACCATCCCAGCCAACATGGTAGAAACCCCATCTCTACTAAAAATATTTCAAAAATTAACTGGGCGCGGTGGCACGCACCTATAGTCCCAGCTACTTGGGAGGCTGAGGCAGGAGAATCACTTGAACCCGGGAGGTGGAGGCTGCAGTGAGCCAAGATCATGCCACTGCACTCCAGCCTGGGCAATACAGCAAGACTCCACCTCAAAAAAAAAAAAAAAAAGAAATCACCACATGGAATCTGGTTTCTCTCACATGAGTAAAATGAGTAAGAACCTGAGTTAGTCAAACTGATTTGTGGGACCACAAATTCTTTTATTCTACTCCGATTGTGAAGCAAACTATCAGCCAATCATCAGAAAAAATACTGGTACTTGCATAATGTAAAATTTCAAAGCCAAACTTCATTAGTACATATCACATACACAAATGTGTATCTGCAGAAGCTGTACATTTACAATATTTTTGCTTGTGACTCTAACTACGAAGAAATAAAATTCTTGCCAGGCACGGTGGCTCACGCCTGTAATCCTAGCACTTTGAGAAACCAAGGTGGGTGGATCACCTGAGGTCAGGAATTCAAGACCAGCCTGGCCAGCATGGTAAAACTGTCTCTATTAAAAATACAAAAATTAGGCAAGGTGGTGGGCACCTGTAACCCAGCTACCTGCAAGGCAGAGGCAGGAGAATTGCTTGAACCTGGGAGACAGAGGTTGCAGTGAGCGGATACCATGCCATTGCACTCCAGCCTGAGTGACAAAGGAAACTGCATCTCAAGGCAGAAAAAAAAAAAAGGTAGATAAATTTGATTTAATTTTATTAAGTCAAATTTATCTACCTTTTTTAAAATAAATAAATAAAAGATGCCATAGTGAGCCAGGCACAGCAGCTCATGCCTATAATCCCAGCACTTTGGAAGGCTGAGTCGGGTGGAATCACTTGACTGCTGGCATAACAGGCGTAAGCCACTGCACCCAGCCTTAAAACTCTTAAAAGAAACCAAAATCGGGTTGGCATGGAGTTCGAGAACAGCTTTGACCAACATGGAGAAACCCCGTCTCGACTAAAAATACAAAAATTAGCCAGGCGTGGTGGCGCATGCCTGTAATCTCAGCTACTCAGGAGGCTGAGGTAGAAGAAAGGCTTGAACCCAGGAGGTGGAGGTTGCAGTGAGCCAAGATTGTGCCACTGCACTCCAGCCTGGGCAACAAGAGCAAAACTCTGTCTCAAAAAAAAAAAAAAAAGCCAGAGTAAAAGACAGCATAAACATAGTTAAGATATACTGGAAGAAGTATTCATAACATGTAACAGACAACAAAAATAAAGACATTATTTTTTTAGACTCCACAAATCAATAATTCTTAAAAATATATTCCATAGTATATGGACATATAAATCAATGGCATACAATTGAGAGCCCAGAAATAAACCCTTATATCGATAGTCAATCACTTTTTGTCAAGGATGCCAGAACAATTCAGTAAAAGAAGGAAAGTCTTTTCAAGTAATGGTCTTGAGGCAACATGATGATACAAAAATTATTCAAAATGATGATTTTTTTTTTTTTTGAGACAGATTTGCATTCTTGTTGCCCAAGTTGGAGTGCAATGGTGTGATCTCGGTTCACTACAACTTCTGCCCCATGGGATTCAAGCGATTCTCCTGCCACAGTCTCCCAAGTAGCTTGGATTACAGGTGTGCACCACCACACCCAGCTAATTTTTTGTATTTTTAATAGAAAAAGGGTTTCACCATGATAGCCAGGCTGGTCTCAAACTCCTGACCTTAGGTGATCTGCCCACCTAGGTCTCTCAAAGTGCTGGCATAATAGGCGTGAGCCATTGCACCCAGCCTTAAAACTCTTAAAAGAAACCACAATCGGGTTGGCACGGTGGCTCACACCTGTAATCCCAGCATTTTGGGAGGCCGAGGTGGGTGGATCACGAGTTCAAGAGATCGAGACCATCCTGGCCAACTTGGTGAAATCCCGTCTCTACTAAATAATACAAAAATTAGCTGGGCAAGGTGGCACGTGCCTGTAGTCCCAGCTACTTGGGAGGCTGAGACAGGAGAATCGCTTGAACCCGGGACGCAGAGGTTGCGGTGAGCTAAAGTCGTGCCACTGCACTCCAGCCTGCCTGGCAACAAAGCGAGACTCGTTTCAACAACAAAAAAAAAATAGAAACCACAATCATAAATGTTTGTGACCCTGAATTAGGCTATGGTTTCTTAAATTACAAGCAGCAGAAGAAAAAGCAGCCGATGAACTTAACTGACCAAAACTTAAAACTTTACGCTGCAGGGCCGGGCGCGGTGGCTCAAGCCTGTAATCCCAGCACTTTGGGAGGCCAAGGCGGGTGGATCACGAGGTCAAGAGATTGAGACCATCCTGGTCAACATGGTGAAACCCCGTATCTACTAAAAATACAAGAAATTAGCTGGGCATGGTGGCACGTGCCTGTAATCCCGGCTACTTAGGAGGCTGAGGCAGGAGAATTGCCTGAACCCGGCAGGTAGAGGTTGCAGTGAGCCGAGATCACGCCACTGCACTCCAGCCTGGGTAACAAGAGTGAAACTCCGTCAAAAAAAAAGAAAACTTTACACTGCAAAGAATAAAACCAAGAAAGTGAAAAGACAGTCCAAAGAGGGGAGAAAATCTGTGGAAATCATATATATGATAAAGGTTTAATACCCAGAATAAAAGACATATTACAACTCAACAATAAAAGGACAATTAACCCAATTTAAAAATGGGCAAAAGACCTAAAGATCTTCATTTTTCCAAAGATGATCTACAAATTGCCAATAAGTACATAAAAAAATGCTTGGCATCATTAGTCATCAGGGAAGCACAAGTCGAAACAACAGTGAGATGCCACTTCACATCCACTAGGATTATAACCAAAAAGACAGATAATTACAAGTGTTGACCAGAATACGGAAACCCTGAAACCCTCATATGTTGCTGCTGGGAATGTAAGATGGTAGGGCCACTTACATTGAGTTCAGCAGAACTTAAAAATTAAACAGAATTGCATACTAGACCCAAAAAATTCCACCCCTAGGTCTATTATCCAAGGGAGCTAAAAACATGTCCCCACAAAAACACACATGAATCTTCACAGCAGCGTTATTCATAGTAGCCAAAATATGGAAACAAACTATCAATCAACTGGCAAATGGATAACAAAATATATTCTACCCATACAATAAAACAGTATTTTGCCTTTAAAAGGAATAAAATACTGATAACATGCTACGGCATGAATGAACCCCAAAAACATGCTAAAAGAAAGACAGGCATAGGGGCTCCCACCTATAATCCCAGCACTTTAGGAGGCCAAGGCAGGAGAATCATTTAACCCCAGGAGTTCAAGACCAGCCTGAGTAACCTAGCAAGACCCCATTTCAAAAGAGGGGAGAGGAGGGGAGAGGAGGGGAGGGAAGAGGAAAGGAGGGGAGGGGAGGGGGAAGGGGAAAGAGGGGAGGGGGGGAGGTTAGGGGGGAAGGGAGGGGGAAAGGGGGAAGGGGGAGGGGGAAAGGGGAGGGGAAGGGGGAGGGAGGGCAGAGAGAAGCAAGGAAGAAAAAAACAAACCAGACATAAAAAGTCACATACCGAAGCTAGGCATAGTGGCTCATGCCTATAATCCCAACACTTTGGGAGGCTGAGGTAGGCAGATCACCTGAGGTTGGGAGTTCAAGACCAGCCTGGCCAACATGGCGAATCTCTATCTCTACTAAAAATACAAAAATTAACTGGGCATGGTAGTGTGCACCCGAAATCCCAGCCGCTCAGGACGCTGTGGCAGAAGGATCACTTGAACCCAAGAGGTGGAGGTCACAGTGAACTGAGATCAGGACACTGCACTCCAGCCTAGATGACAGAGCGAGACCTTTGCCTAAAAAAAAAAAAAAAAAAAAGGCAGGGCGCGGTGGCTCATGCCTGTAATCCCAGCACTTTGGGAGGCCAAGGCGGGTGGATCACCTGACGTCAGGAGTTCAAGACCAGCCTGGTCAACATGGTGAAACTCTACCTCTACTTTAAAAAAAAAAAAAAAAATTAGCTGGGCATGGTGGCAGGCACCTGTAATCCCAGCTACTTGGGAGGCTGAGACAGGAAAAGCACTTGAACCCAGGAGGCGGAGGTTGCAGTGAGCCAAGATCACGCCATTGCACTCCAACCTGGGAGACAAGAGCAAGACTTCTCCCCCAAAAAAAAAAAAAAAAAAAAAAAAAAGGTATGCATCTTATGGTTTGATTTATATGAAAGGTCCAGAATAGGCAAACCCATAGGACAGAAAGTAGAATCATGGCTGTCAATGGCTGGCAAAAACAGGATGGGGAATGACTGGTAATGGGTACAGGGTATCTTTTTGGGGTAATACAAATGCTTTGGAATTGGTAGTGGTGATGGCTGCACACACTTGTGAATACATAAAGCCACTGAATTATATACTTATATACTAAAGCCACTAAGTTATATATTTTAAAATAGTGAATTTTATAGTATATGCATTAAAAGTTTTCAAAATAAGGCCAGGCATGGTGGCTCACATCTGTAATACCTGTACTTTGGAAGGCCTAGGTGGGTGGATCACCTGAGGTCAGGAGTTCGAGACCAGCCTGGCCAGCATGGTAAAACCCCATCTGTGTACTAAAACTACAAAAATTTAAAAAATTAGCCAGGCTTAGTGACAGGTGCCTGTAGTTTCAGCTACTCAGGAGGCTGAGGCAGGAGAATCGCTTAAACCCAGGAGGTACAGGTTGCATTGAACCAAGGTCGTGCCACAGCACTCCAGCCTAGGCAACAAGAGCACAACTCCACCTCAAAAAAAAAATTAATTAAAAATTTTAATTTTTTTTTTTTTTTTTTTTTTTTGAGACGGAGTTTCGCTCTTGTTACCCAGGCTGGAGTGCAATGGCGCAATCTCGGCTCACCGCAACCTCCGCCTCCTGGGTTCAGGCAATTCTCCTGTCTCAGCCTACTGAGTATCTAGGACTACAGGTACGCACCACCATGCCCAGCTAATTTTTTGTATTTTTAGTAGAGACGGGGTTTCACCATGTTGACCGGGATGATCTCGATCTCTTGACCTCATGATCCACCCGCCTCGGCCTCCCAAAGTGCTGGGATTACAGGCTTGAGCCACCGCGCTCGGCCGTTTAATTTTTATTTTAATTTAAAAAAAAATATTTTTGTGTGACAGAGTTTTGCTCTGTTGCCAGGCACCAGGCTGGAGTGCAGTGGCGTGCTCTCGGCTCACTGCAATCTCCGCCTCCTGGGTTCAAGCAATTCTCCTGCCTCAGACTCCCAAGTAGCTGGGACCACAGGCGTACCACCACGCCCAGCTAATTTCTGTATTTTTTAGTAGAGACGGGGTTTCACCATAGTCTCCACCTCTTGACCTTGTGATCCGCCCGCCTCGACCTCTCAAAGTGCTAGAATTACAGGCATGAGCCACCGTGCCTGGCAAAAATTTTTTTAAATGTCACACTTCGATGGTGAGAGTCCACCATTCCACCAATTCTCTTTTGTCCTTTAGAAAACACAAGTAACTATGCAGATTCATTCCTGGAACCTTGTTAGCTAACCTTAATTAACATTTCAAAGTCAATAAGCTACAGACTAGACCAGGCGTCCCCAAACTTTATACACAGGGGGCCAGTTCACTGTCCCTCAGACCGTTGGAAGGCCGCCACATCCTGTGCTCCTCTCACTGACCACCAATTAAAGAGGTGCCCCTTCCTGAAGTGCGGCGGGGGGCCGGATAAATGGCCTCAGGGGGCCACATGCAGCCCACGCGCCGTAGTTTGGGGACGCCTGGACTAGACTCTAGGGAAACAGGGGGCCAGAAAAGGGGAAAGGGTCAGGAAAAGGGCTGACAGGGCTTTTACTTAAGGTTGGTCCTAGCCTTGTCACTTAATAGTATTCACTGTATTTGCCCCTGAAGCACACTAACCAAGAAAAAGTTTCTATTTGAAGAAATTAAGGTGATCTAAAACTGCCTGGCAAAGTAATTTTAAAAACATTATCGGCCTCTTCCACCTCTAACAGATGCATGCACAATAAATTAAAATGCATACACAGTCATTTAAAATAATCTGCTTAAATAATTTTCCTGTGAAAAATTATTCACACTGAAGGAGTCAAAACAGAAAAACAATGAAACTCACCTGTCCAATAACTTTGAGTTTAATATATTCACCTTCCTTCTTATCCCCCAAGTCCTCAGTTGAAGGTTTTGCCTCCTGAAAGAAAATCAAATTTCAAGATAAAAGTTCTTAAATATTATTTTAATTAGTCACTTATGAGTATCCATTACTTTCATTCAGGGTGCAAAATCTGCACCTGAGAATACAAAGAGCATTTCTTTTCCATGCCAGTCAATTAAGGAAAAAAAGATTCTAAGTCAATTACTGTCCCAAACACCATTCGCTAGAAATCAAGAAAGGGGTCTCTTTTCTTATATCCCATGGTAATGGTCTAAAACTTTACCACGCATCAAAATCATCTGAAGGACGTGTTACAAACTGCTGGGCCCAAACCCCAGATTCTTATTCAGCACATCTGCCGTAGGGATGAGAATCAGTTTCTAACAAATTACCAGATGGTACTGATGCTGCTGGCCAAAGGAACAACAACTTGGAAAAAACTCCCCTACAGCCAACTCTTACCAGCACAAAGGGAGTTCATCCTCCATGATTTTTAGACAAAGATTCTGAATCCAAGATTATCTTCTCACAGCCTATCATGAGGAGTTTAATCCAACTACAAAACTGTACTAAGAAATTTAGATGGCATTCCGTTCCAAGGCCTCTGTGTGCCCGCGGAGTAGCCATCATGAGCAAAGCTCACCCTCCCGAGTTGAAAAAATGTATGGACAAGATGTTATCATTGAAATTAAATGGTGGCAGATATGTCCAAGGAATATTGCGGGGATTTGATCCCTTTATGAATCTTGTGATAGATGAATGTGTGGAGATGGTGACTAGTGGACAACAGAACAATATTGGAATGGTGGTAACATGAAGAAATAGTATCATCATGTTAGAAGCCTTGGAATGAGTATAAATAATGGCTATTAAGCAGAGAAACCCATGTCCTCTCTCCATAGGGCCTGTTTTACTATGATGTAAAAATTAGGTCATGTACATTTTCATATTAGACTTTTTGCTAAATAAACTTTTGTAATAGTCAAAAAAAAAAAGAAATGTAAATTAATCATATTAGCACAAGCAAGGCTATTTAGAAAGGAAAATCAAATAGGAAAGTATTGGCCTAATGTACTCTAGAATCAAAACAAATCAGTTTTATATAATCAATTATTTTAGACTATCCGAAGCATAATGCTTAAGTTTAAAAGCTAAGGCTTGGCTGGAAAAAAATTCAAGGAACTGTATTAGAATTAGAAGAAAAAAAAAAAAGCACAAACATGGTAAATAGTTAAAGGAAAAGGGGAGACAAAAATAGGAAGACAAGATACTTGAAAGGTTGTGACAGCAGGAATGCTTGGCCCAGGAGTTCAAGGCCAGCCTGGACAACATAGTAAGACCTCATCTTTTTAAAAAAAAAGACACAAAAACAACAGAGTTACAAAATAATTTCAAATAGAGAGTTACTGGAATAAAATGAAGTTAACAGAATAAATTAGTTGAAACAACTTCACCATGAAGGTATCTCAAGAATAAGCAAATCGCCGGGTGCGGTGGCTCAAGCCTGTAATCCCAGCACTTTGGGAGGCCGAGGCGGGTGGATCACGAGGTCAAGAGATCGAGACCATCCTGGTCAACATAGTGAAACCCCGTCTCTACTAAAAATACAAAAATTAGCTGGGCATGGTGGCACGTGCCTGTAATCCCAGCTACTCAGGAGGCTGAGGCAGGAGAATTGCCTGAACCCAGGAGGCAGAGGTTGCGGTGAGCCGAGATCGCGCCATTGCACTCCAGCCTGGGTAACAAGAGCGAAACTCCGTCTCAAAAAAAAAAAAAAAAAAAAAAGAATAAGCAAATCATTTTTTGTAAAGTGGGTACCTTGGAAAATTTCACTAATAATGTGGTTTAAAAAAAAAAGTAGCCTTTTTCTCTATGTGCTACACCTTAGTTTGGCCACCAAATTGCCCACTTATTTACATATATACCTTATTATTCATAATAATTTCAAACAGTTAATCTATATTTGGTAAGAATAACCATATTATATTTTACAGGTAAAATAACAGAACCACTACCTGTGTAGCTCATGCTAGTAACTTAAAATACAAAATTCTTTAACATTCAACAATTCAGAGAGCATGGCTGGGCGCAAGGGCTCATGCCCATATAATCTCAGCACTTAGGGAGGCTGAGGCAGACAGATCACCTGAGGTCGGGACTTTAAGACCAGCCTGACAAACATGAAGAAACCTCATCTCTACTGAAAATACAAAAAATTAGCCGGTCATGGTGGCACACGTCGGTAATCCCAGCTACTCAGGAGGCTGAGGCAGGAGAATCGCTTGAATCTGGGAGAGAGAGGTTGCAGAGAGCTGAGATTGTGCCATTGTACTCCAGCCTGGGCAACAAGAGCGAAACTCAATTTAAAAAAGACAGAACAGGCCGGGCACGGTGGCTCAAGCCTGTAATCCCAGCACTTTGGGAGGCCGAGGCGGGTGGATCACAAGGTCAAGAGATCAAGACCATCCTGGTCAACATGGTGAAACCCCGTCTCTACTAAAAATACAAAAAAAATTAGCTGGGCATGGTGGGGCGTGCCTGTAATCCCAGCTACTCAGGAGGCTGAGGCAGGAGAATTGCCTGAACCCAGGAGGTGGAGGTTGCGGTGAGCCGAGATCGTGCCATTGCACTCCAGCCTGGGTAACAAGAGTGAAACTCCGTCTCAAAAAAAAAAAAAAAAAGACAGAACATATTAAACTAGAAGTAGCTTTTAACCTTAAGATACAGGCTACAATCTGGGGAAATGTTTAGATTAACAGAACTGACTTCGTTAGTATGAATCCCTGCCTGCTTTTCATTCTGCAGTGCTTTTAACATTTGCTGACTACTGACTATTACGGCAGCAGGCAAAATTAACCTTCTTTAGTAAGACAGTATTTCACCTGAAAACTAGAAGACTGTCTTCAAATATAGTCTCTCTCCACATTTCTATTATATATTCATAGTAAACAGCTGCTTCTTCCTCTAAGTATCTAGAAGGCAAAAAAACAACTTATTCCATGCAGTGAAGGGCAATAAACAGCAACCAAGCTCTGACTCCTCTATAACTGGAAGGAGAGGAGGCGTTAAGAAGCTTTAAGTTAGCACAAAGGACAGCCCACTCCCTTAGCAGCAATGTATCAGCACAACAGGAGTGGCTTTGCTCCTGCATCTCCTAGACAGGGTAGCTATAGAGGCTACTCAGCACAAAAGAAATCTTCCCCATCCTCCTCTCCATCACCCTCAAGTGCTTCAGAACTCTTCTTCTAAAGCCTACCTTCTGCAATCCTCTAACTACTCAAATCAAGATGCATAAATAGGGCCGGGTGTGGTGGCTCACGCCTGTAATCCCAACACTTTGGGAGGCCGAGATGGGCAGATCATGAGGTCAAGGGTTCAAGACCAGACTGGCCAACATGGTGAAACCCTGTCTCTACTAAAAAATACAAAAATTAGCCAGGCATGGTGGGTCATGCCTGTAATCCCAGCTACTTGGGAGGCTGAGGGAGAAGAATTGCTTGAACCTGGACCCGGGAGGCAGAGGTTGCAATGAGCCTACATCATGCCACTGCACTCCAGCCTGGGCTACAGAGCGAGACTCCATCTCAAAAAAAAAAAAAAAAAAAAAAAAAAGCAAGAAAGAAAGAAAAGAAAAAGCATAAATAGCTTCCAATACTTTAGGGCCTATAACCTAACTCTATAGCATGACATTCTGTCCTTCCACTATTAACCTCAATTCTCATTTTTCTCTCACCACCCACTTTACAAACCCAAAGACTCTGCTCAGTTGGACTATTTGCTGTTCCCTAAACACATCTATTAGCATTACTTCATCTTCAGCCCTTTGCAGCCCTAGTTTCATTTAGCTGGAATATATATATCCTCTCTTAGCCTCTCTTGAAATCACCTCAAGGACATCTACCTCACACATCAACTTAAGTCCAGTATATTTTTTCTTTTCTTTTTTTTTGAGACGGATTTTTGCTCTTGTTGACCAGGCTAGAGTGCAATGGTGCAATCTCCGTTCACTGCAACCTCCATCTCCAGGGTTCAAGTGATTCTCCTGCCTGCCTCAGACTCCCAAGTAGCTGGGATTACAGGCATGTGCCGCCACACCCAGCTAATTTTTGTATTTTTAGTAGAGATGGGCTTTCACCTTGACCAGGATGGTCTCAATCTCCTGACCTCATGATCTGCCTACCTCGGCCTCACAAAGTGCTGGGATTACAGGTATGAGCCACCGCGTTGGGCCAAGTCACTATTTTTTAAAACTCATCTATGAACCACTGCACTCCCCCCAACCTTCCAAATGAGATTAATATCTGCCTTGTAATTTATTTATATTTTTATAGTATTTATTCTACTTGCAATTTATACATATCTTTTATGGTATTTATTCTCAACTTAAAAATACTCTCCCTTGACTTTACTTCTCTCTCTTTTTTTTTTTTTCTTTTTTGAGACGGAGTTTCGCTCTTGTTACCCAGGCTGGAGTGCAATGGCGCGATCTCGGCTCACCGCAACCTCCGCCTCCTGGGTTCAGGCAATTCTCCTGCCTCAGCCTCCTGAGTAGCTGGGATTACAGATACACGCCACCATGCCCAGCTAATTTTTTTGTATTTTTAGTAGAGACGGGGTTTCACCATGTTGACCAGGATGGTCTCGATCTCTTGACCTCGTGATCCACCCGCCTCAGCCTCCCAAAGTGCTGGGATTACAGGCTTGAGCCACCGCGCCCGGCTCGTTTTTTTGTTGTTGTTTTTTTTTAATAAAGACAGGGTTTCACCATGTTGGTCAGGCTGGTCTTGAACTCCCGACTTCAGGTGATCCGCCCGCCTTGGCCTCCAAAGTGACTGGATTACAGGCGTTAGCCATCACTCCCGGCCGACCTTACTTCTCTATTTATTGTTCTCATCTTCTTTCTAAGTCAAACTTCTTATAAGAATATTCCGTTTTTGCGATCCCCACTTTCACTGTCACCCTACTGTAATATGGTTTACGCCCCCACTATTCCACTTGCCATTCTCCTCACCAGTGTTAGCAGGTGGACTCCTTAT